AAATTCAAAATTCAAATTTGCAAACAGGTTTATAAACAGCACAAAACGAGTCAAAATAATTTGAAAATTGTATTAAGTATATGAATTGAAAATATAAACAAATGGTGTGAATTTTAAATATCTGCAATTATTGGTTTTTCCATTATATAAAAATATGTAAAAATCACTATATGAGAATTGGAGTGAATGTTGTCAAAATTTCAACTTTAAATGCTTATAAAAATTTTAAATTTGACTTTCCGATAGAATTTGTTGTTTGATAAAGGTAGACAAACTTATAAGGAATCTTGTACTAAGTTTTAAACACTTAGATATAAAACGAAACATTTTTATGAATTTCTAACTCAAAATATTTTGCACATTTTTGTGAATTTTGTCAAAATTCAAGATTCAAAGGCTTATAAAAATTTGCTGTCAAAATTGTCTGGTTTATAGAAAACGCCGTTATAAATATTCAGTAAAAATGTCATGTATATCTACGATACCTATACTATGGTTTATTTTTTTGGAGTTACATCAAAAACCAAAATCGATTTTGTCGAAAACCGGGTTTCCGTGAAAATTCGCTTTTTTCCTTAATTTTTTGTTTGTTTTTCCTGCCGCTTTTGAAAACTATTGAGAATTGTTTACTTTTGACCCTTCAAAGTACCGATACTAATCACATTTTTACCAGAAAAGATGCTTGTTGAAAAAAATTTAAGCACTTTTACTCTCCCAACACAACGTGATGACAAAAACAAAAAAAATAAAAAAATAAATCACTCCGCTCGGAATCTAAATGAAGTTAAAAAGTCATAACTTAAATTTTTTAACTCGTATACACCCAGGTTTGAATAACTACAAAGTTTTAGAATATTTGAACGCCTGTGTCTATTTATTGCATTACTATTTATTATATTTTATAAAGATACCTATACTAGTGTAAAAGTATATTTTTCATTATCACTCGTACGGGGTGATTACTGGTTAGGATAGTAAGTTTACCACTCTGTGAACATTTTTGTTTTTTAGATACAACTATAATATAACGTAATATTAATATATTATAGAACAATGAAATATATATAACACTAAATTAATAGTGTCCTGTAACTGCTAACTTTGGATTTAAAAAAAATTATAAGTTATAAATTAAAATTGTGTCTTATGAGTAATCGCTTATAACGGGTATTTCTAAATTAAACCGTATAATGAATGTCTATTTAAAGTACTTAAAAATAGGTTATAATTATAAAATTACCCTACGATCAGGGAGCAGAAAAACGACAACGACGAGCAGCGTTTGTATATTATTTGATCTCTCGTATTTTGTGCATTTGCTCTCAGAAATAAAATATGTGTCTACACAGGGGTAGCATATTTTTCATGAAATTAAATTTTTTTTTGTAGTATAAAAAATAATTTTAAGCACCAAAAAAATATGAAACCAAAATTAATTACTTTAAACATCGACGCTTTCGGGCTTCGGTGAAATTCCTGATATTGCATGTGCACTGCGGAATAAACCAGATATACCTACGACTGAACTTAAGTTTGAAAATATTGAGATTTATTATGAAAAAAAAAACCGTACGGATCGCTTCATGTTTCTTGTTCATGTCTGCAGCTTTGCTAACCGAAATTTTAGATCGATTGCGTCTTTGCGACTACTTTGACAATCGCCACAGATTGTATTATAATTTATACTACGTCAATATCATAAAACCATAGATATTACAAATTTTTTTATGAAGGAGGTCCGTGGTTGAGATTTGATCATTAAGATAATGAAATGATTAATGAGGTTAACAATAACCAAAATAGTTTATAATTTTAAAATTTATATTACTACAATATATAAAGTACCTACTATTTTAATTTTTAATTTAATAATTAATAAAGGTGGTGTTTAAATATTTGAAGCACAAGCATGTTTTTTTATGAGTTATTAAATAAAAAAAAAATCTTACTGTAAATAAACGTGATTACTACTTTTTAAATTAAACATAAAGGTATTTAGTGCCTAATGCATCACATTTACCGTATACCGACTATACCAACTATTGTTTGTAAAATTCCAAGTTAAATCTTTTCTCTGAATACTGTCGAGCACGAAATGAATAATTAATATTTTATGTATTCATTTTGAATGCATTGGTTAGGTCTTAGGTACTTATGTATATTTTAAGCTATTCGAGAATATTTAAAAATTAAAATTTCCTTATTTAATTATAAAATAATTTGATTTTTGATGTACGACGGCTTCATTTTAATTCGCGATTCGACCACAAGCAGACGGCATATTAATATTCATATATTATTTAACATGTATATAAACTAAAAATAAAAATAGTTGAATTTTGAGGCACATAAGAACTCCCGTGCACTGCAATACTGTAGTATGACTAGTATGTACAACACTATTTATATCTTTTTAATTTTATAAATATGTTATTATTCTGCTACCTGGATAATATGGATATGCCGTCGTCGTTTGTGATACCGTATTTTTTGTGTTGCGCGCTCGGGAACAAAAAATATGCCCCTACTTCACACGGGTAAATACTTCACAAATCAAATTTTAATTTTGAGACTAAAAAGTAAAATATTTAAGCCCCAAAAGAATAAGTAATCAAACTTACGTATACATCGACTCTTCGGGTAGGTACCTGATATATAGCTGTAAGGCGCCATATCTTGAGTGCTGCAGAAGCCATATCTGCTTTCATCGAATTCCAAATTGAAAAAAATCCAGATTTTTTATAAAAACTACTTGAGTAGAATGAAATAAGTGAGTAAAAGTTTATAGTTGCCATACACATTTCTCTTTTGATCAATGAAATTATTAGAATTGCGAATCGTCTCCGGTGAGTGACGACGATCGGCTTTTGCCATAGATGAGAGGTATTATAATATAATATTATGTTGACATCAGTTTTCGAGTTTTTGACTTCTTTGGATTACACTATACATTTTTTATTTCAAATTCCGAAACAGAATATTATTAGGAGCATTTAAATCTATATAATGCAGAACTCGGCACTCCGAGTACAGGCCATTTATATTTTTAGATACCTACACTACTGTCGAGAATGCATTTCCAATAACATTAAGATGTAACAATATTATTGCTGAATACAGTTTAATGCTTTTAATTATATGTTCAACAACAATTATTCATAATATTTTTTGTTTTAAAGGCAGTTTCCAAAACGTACATAAATTAATATCAGTTGTAAATTTTTTCATACCTATACACCATATAACAGTTAAAAATTGCATTTACTTGTTTAAATCTGTTATTTTTTATGTTTAAGGTAGTAGGTACAATAGTTACACGATATAGACACATGAATAATGGATAAATTATTAAAAAAATGTGATTTTATATCTGTATTGAAATAAAATTATATAGCTGAAATTGAAAATATAAATATATATATATTTTTAGTTAAGGTTTGTAGTATTATATTGATGTATGAACTGAAGAATACAATGTTTAGTAACATAGGACATGTTTACTTTGATGAACTGATTCAGTGAATCTTTTGATCATAAGAACCATAAGTCAACTTGTTCATTTGTTTGTGACCCCCGAAAAATTAAATTTGTGGAATCATAAATCAAATATTCGATGAGTTGTTTCCTATTATAATTATACAAAATTAAATCAAATCACTTAATTCTGGTTCAAACATTAATATAAGTCTTAAGTTAGTAAACTAGGTTTGAATACAAAATAATTTTTTATAAGAATGGAAATATCCATTATCCAAGTAGTCACTATTTCCATTTTTTAAATAATGTAAAAAATATTATTTTGTTGGCATATCAAAGAGATAATAAATAAAAATCATATACATCCCATATAGAGTTAAGTAAAATGTTATAATATTAGCCAACAAACTATGTACAGTAATTAAAGATAAAATATTTATCAATAGAATAATATGGACGACTTGCTGGACAGTGAAATGGTATAATTTAATCTTTAAGTCGGGTAAATCAATCATCCAGGGAAATTTTATTTTCTAAAAAAATATTTTAGCAAATTGAAAATGGAAATTGATTTCTTAAATATTTTAAGAATTGTATACTTTATTTTTTTGTTTATAATTTTATACCTACGAATAAGAAAAATTACCATTACCTTAATTATAACCTATTAAGTTCAAAAAATACAAAATTTGTTTGTTTGTTTTTTTAAAAATGTTTTATTTGTAATATTTATTTATTTATTTGTGGGATTATAGTATAAATTTGTTTTATAAAATAGTAAGTTTTTGTACATCAAATGTCAAAAGTAGCTGAAGTTAATTGTTATTAACGAGAGGAATGCCTTTATCTAACTTGAAGACAAATATTTCCAAAAAATAAACAAATGACGTTTGAATACTTGGCTTATAGAAAATAAAACCAAAACTTTGTTGGTATATTTTATCAAAACAGTAATTGACTCTTATGTAAATTTATGATAATAATTTTTTTTTATAAGAAGTCTTATACCGTTTGATCTGTTTTGTCACCTTTATTTAGCTAAACATGTAAATAAACAATAAATTAAATATTTTTACATTTTAGCTATTGGTAAATTTAAAAGTACTTGCAGTGCTTGGATTTTTTATTTAGCTGTATTGGATCAGCACTATCTAATACATTAACTTAACACCATTACAAAACAGTATTAATTTTTATACTGCAGACATCTACATTATATTTTAATGATATTTAAGCAAAATCTTTAGCTTAACACTTTTCTTTGTACAAATCAATAATAATAACATTTATCATATATGCTATCCGGAATTTGTCTCCTAAAACTAAATCAGTAAATCCGCAAGAAATAAAGAATATTGTTCATGTGCTGGGCGCTGGCATGGCTCTAAAAAATTGGTATAAATAATAAAAATGAACAACAGAAGACCTATTTGAACTGAAGGGTCACAGTACTGGAAGAATTATGAATGTTGTGTTGGTACAACTGGTCGGTTATTATTCTATAGTTTTGAGAAAAGTGCCGTTCTGCCGAATCGGCCGATACGATGTTTAAAAATCTGTAACTGTCTGTCTGAGTGTCTGTTCGGTTAATAGTATTCGCTGTGTCTTAGCTCTCCGCGGTGTGTAGTTCGTGGATTCGCGTCAGAATTGTTGATAGGCACTTCATTTAGTTTTCAGACAGCCTTACCCCTTTTGTTCTCGCCCGGCGCAAGATTCTACGCTCAAACGGTAATATTCAATTTTTCGATAATCCTATCACATTGTTGTATTATTATCATTATCATTGTTAACAAATATACTCAAACTCTGAAACGCGGAAACGCCACAACAACTCTACGTTGTCTGTCGGCCGGTTAATACAGTTTTTGGATTTGCTGTACGGTCCTAAATATTTTACGTTTTGTGTATCTACGTTTTATATTTTTATTTCGTGCGTAAAATGAACGCCAAAAGTCTAGGGTTTTTGTTTGTGTTCATTGGTCCAGCGTATTCAGAGACTTACAGTGAAGAATTGTTCATTAAGCCTTTGGCCACCGGTTTCGTGTATTCGTTCTTTCAGTTCACAGTTATTCGCGAAGATGACTCTTTCAAGCATTCCATTCTGTTCCCACACTCGTTGGGAGACATAATCGATAGATTTCATGTAGCAGAGCTCAATGTCGACCTTACATCTGGCCTGTGGAGACACAAGTCGTGGGGTTATCCGGCCGTCGACGCCCCATCAGGAGCTGAGATATCTGCTCGTTTCCACAATGACACACAAGACGTGGACAAGCACTGGTATGGACTTACAAACGCATTGTCTGGTTTGCTGTGTACGTCGTTAAATTTTATCAACAGTGCTAATAGCTATGAATCATCCGCTGACAGGGTCTACCGATATTCAAATTTACCGCGAGAAAATGTTTGTACTGAAAATTTGACACCGTGGAAAAAACTTTTACCTTGTGATTCTACTCGAGGCTTGTCAAGCTTGTTAAACTCTGGCCGGGTGCACAATGCCAACTATCACTCCTTGGGAATTCATTTCAGGCCGTTATGTAATGCAGGGAAGTGTAAATATGAACTCCGTCAAACTGTTTCTCTAGTGTATGATTCAGTATTTATAAGTTTCAATAACAACTATGATTGGTCTCTCCGCAAGATGTTTGGTACTGGACTGTTCAAGACGTGTCCTTTGGCAGATTACAGTAAAATCTATTTAGATACATCATCAAATAGTAGTGTTCCTTATTTGATTTCACAAGAACCATATTACTTTTTGAAAAACAATATTGCTGTTTATAATCTGAAAGGTATATTTCACCTATCTGCTATAGTGCCCAGACCAAAAATAGTCGTGTCGGAATTACGTCCATTACTGTACACAGATAGATTTATCACTGGATTTGGACAAGAATATGGAGGATTAGTTACCCGTATATACAATGATCATAAGTCGCCTATAATCGCCACCGTCATCGAGAATATTCCATGGTTCCTACCAATTTATTATCATACATTAAAAGTGACCAGCAATGGTATTCGTGTCATACCCAAAGCTCTAATTTACAAACCAGGGAAAGGAAGAGTAAGAATTTACTATTTAGAAATAGTATTAGAGCTTGCACCACGTTCAGTCACAGAAATATCTGTTCAGTTTGACTATGTGTTCTTGAAATGGCAAGAATATCCACCAGATGCTAATCATGGCTTTTATATTGGCTCTGCTATAGTGAAAGCCACAATTCCGAGACATGCAACTTCTCTAACATTTGATAAATCATTGATTGTAGACAATCTAAATTCAACTGGATCCGATTACTTAATTTGTTTGAAAACGGAAAATTTCATCATTACACTACCAACGCCTGATTTCAGTATGCCTTACAATGTCATATGCTTAGCTTGTACTGTAGTAGCATTGGCGTTTGGTCCAATTCACAATATTACTACTAAAAGACTGAAATTGACTACAGCTAAGTATGTGCCTGGTTTAGCGTCAGTTGCACAGAAATTGTATGTTTGGTTGGAAAATATATTTTGGAGTAAAAATAAAAACAAAACAGGAAAAGCAGCAGTAGTTAAAGTATTTGCTCCTGAAGAATTGAGTTACCATCCAACATTAGGACATGTATCTGAAGAATTCATGAAAGACAAACAAGATTATAATATAGAATCATAATTATATAACTCTTTTTTGTTGTAAATATTATATATTTAATTTTATAAAACAAATGTTACGTTACCAAATTTATCTATTGTGTACATTTTTAATTTAATAACTTATTTTCTGAAATAGGTAATATAACCATATGTGTCAGGGATGGCGAATGTCCAATTTGGTACTCGAAAAATTAAAATACTTAATTTTATTTTAATTATAAATTATAAGATCATTTTTCTAATTATTTATATATATTTCATACTTGAAAAAAGAAAAAAAAACATGTGATTTTTGATACGTAACGTTAGAGAAATTTGCAATCCCTGATATAGGTAGCTATGCTATTTCATTGTAGCTTTTTTTTAAAAAAATTTTCTTTATTTCATAAGTGAACATATAATGTTCTGTATTTGATTATTTATTTTATTTATAATATAATATTTAGTAACCGTGGTTGGCCTGATATTATAAATAATAATATTAATGTCCATTTTAAAATTCAACTTCCTTGCTGTACTTTCATATCTTTCAGTTATACATTTTTTTCTATTTTTATTCGTTCTTTATATTATTCAATAGGTAGTATCTCTATGTATTGATAGCCATGATATAAATTATTTTGTGGCTTATAGAATTGTGTTTTCTACCTATTAATTTATGAAATATCACTTATGTACATAATTATAATATATTTTATTACTTATTTTATGTTAACACTAATAAATAATAATTGTAGAGTTGGTTAAGTAACTATACCTTAGTATACCTTTACTATACCTAGTACCTATACCTTATATTTTATGAGGTTAAAATGTCTAAGTAAAAAATATATTATTGTAATATTGTTATATTATTTATTTTAAAATAGAATACCAAATGGCTAATACAAATTATACAATTAAATTTTTTTAACCTTTTAAATATAATATGACTTGGTTAGAATCTTTTAAATAAAAACAAAATTATAAGAAATTGCTGATGAATTTGCATTCATTAGTTTGTTGTTAGGCTTGAATTTAGGTTAATGTGGTGTCAAATAATTACAATTTTTGTAATTAAAAATCTTATTAGTTAAAAAAAATAATCTATAATTTTGTTTTTTGATTTTGTGTGTTCTAGTTCTTTAATACTATTAAGAAATGGCAACTCTTGAAAAATTGATGTTGGACAAAATTCTTATGAAGATGAAAAGGTTCAACATGCATGAACTTAAACAGCTATTCAAAATCTTACATTTGAACCTGGAATGGGAAGATATTATCAATATAGTATCCGAATGCCGTTTGCGTTTAAGTGTTGCAAATGTTGTGTCAGTAGTACATCAGCATTTAAAAGATAGTGATTTTATTGATGAAACATATCATCGAGTTTTGTTACTGGACACCATATTCCATCAAAATAGTCAGTGGTGGACAGTGACTATTGATAAAGTTAACAAGCAGTTGTTGGACAAAGAGATAATTAGAAATAATATTGAGGCCATGTTAAACAAATTAAATATTAAAGCAATTACATATGTTATGAAGTGTAATAAATTGTTTTGGGTGTTAATAGATATTAATGAAACAAAAAGAAAACAAACCACTGTGAAATTAAACAATCCATATTTTTTCACCATAGCTCCGGGAAAAGTGTTCCATATTTTTCACAAACCTCAAAATATTGATAATAGACTGTTGAAAATTGTTATAAAATCAGTCGGAGCCAGTAAATGTAAGCCATACTCGCTCTCAGGCAAACATCTGCCTTCAATGGTAAGTTTGTTGGAAGACAAAAATAGAGGTAATGAAAAAAGCAAGGAATTACCAACTTTGGTTAACAATTACAAGGAAGAAGACGTTCAAGAATATGTGCAACAACTATTTGGGGAAAAATGTCGGGTACTTAACGAGTTTACAGTAAACGTGGAAAGTGATATGTCAGTGTTCAGCAATAGCAATCCAGCCGGTAAGATGTGCAAAACCAAAGTGGTGCTTAAAGGTGAAAGTATATTAGATGGTGTTAAAGACATGATGTTGTCAGGTGTATTGCAACCACCATATCCAGATTGGGTTACAAAGCTACCAGTTTTGGGTAAAAATAGTGTAAATATTAATGTACGACCTTAAAATAATGTAATTAATAAATAATATATCATAGTTTAGTATTTATTTAATTATTAATTAATGTATGACAATTTCATATTATTTTGTATGAAAGGCTCTCCTGTAAATACACATTCATTTTATCTAGTGCGAAGTTCAAATTGTCTTTATTCACTACTTATCATATAAAATCATCCATTTGTTTGTGATATAGTTATTTAATTAAATGTATAAAATAATTTGTGTACAGTTATAAAAATAAACTTGTGGTTAATATTTGACTAGTTGTTTTATGATTATGTGAGAGAAATTTCTGTTCAATGAGTATAAAACTATTTAAAAAACTTAGGATGAGCATTAATGACCATTATAATAGATGACAATTACTAAAGATTCCTTTTTAAGGTTAACAAGCTTAGTCTGAGTATATACCTGTAGAATTATATAATATTTTATTTTAGTGAGATGTTATTGTCATGCCTAGGTAATGCAGAAAATATCCTATTTTCTTAAGGAAAGGAATTTTAAAGTCAGGTATTTTGTTAATTTTTTTTACTCAAATTATAAGAAATAATTATCTTGATATTTTCTTATGTTTTTTAGAATAAGTGAACTTCAATGTGATTCACTGTAATTGTTAATATATATATTTTTTTTAGATTCTGATCAAATGTACTGTATTAACAATGTGTTTTTTCTGGCTGTTATCATCATTTTTAGTACTAAAAATGCTAGGATTTTAGCCATTCAGCATCAGCATATTTTTTGATACAAAAGTGAATTGAATTGTTACTTTTGGGAGGTCAAAATTTAAAATTCCCACTGGTTTTCAAAAGCAACGGGAAATAAAAAAATATTAAAAAATATTTTTCCAAGCAAAATTGATTTTAATTTTTAGGTTGAACGCAAACATTAATAAGTACTAAGAGTATTAAATATAATCTCAAAAATTTATACTAATTTATTAATAATAACTTGCAATTTTCTCTATGTATTTATATTGCTATTTTCCATACATCATAACATTTTTGAGTTATTTATAACCTTGGGAATGTTTTTGTGCTTGTAATTTTTTTAAAACTATTGTTGATCAATAAATAAAAAAGCATTCAAGGTTCTGAAGGTTCTTCATAAGTCGCATCAATAGAAGTTCAAAAGTATTAAAGATACCTACGCACAAATATTTTTTATATGAATTTTAAGTTCAAATTTTGACAAATTTCATTAAATTCCAAAAATTCTTAAGTCTGAAAACATCTGAAAGTCACTATATTCATAGCCACGAGAAATTTTTATTAATTTCTTCTTAATTTTTAAATTTGATCATTTATAAAAGAATGCTATGATGACACAACGCATCCAATCAGAATTGTTTTTCATATGCCATGATTTATCATTGTATTTAATTATAACACATCCATTACAATGACATACCCGACTGCTACTGTACAGTAAAGCTTGTACCACTTGTCCACCTTTTTTTTTTTATCATAATTTATTTGAAATACACAATCTATAGTTTTTTATTGAAGCAATTTACAATGGGCATATGCGAGTAGGTATTTTATATGGACATGAAAAAAAAATTAAAGCGAAGTACTCAGCAGACACTGAAATAAATGTACACAGATTCCAAACTGAGAAAATTAATTATCTGTAGAAATTAAAGTTTTAGTTGTTTTTATTTTGTTTAATGTAATTTAATTCTAACTAATATTGAGAATAAATAAATCTCAAAAACAAATTTTTAGTGTTAATAAAATATGTTAATAACTAATATTAACCCTTTGAGGAGCATAGACGTATAAATACGTTTTGAAAATACACTGCCAAGAGGAGCATTGACATAAATATATGTTTTTCCCGCAAATTTCTTTTAGTTTCATTGTTTGTGTTTCATCTGAATAAATTACCGTAAAATACCTTACATAAAATATATGTGAAATTAAAAAAGATGTATTTATACGTCTTCGCTCATAATTTTTTTTCTAATTTTTCATTCCTGAGCTGCTCAAAAGTTAAAATTAATAATGAAATGAAAATTGTAGCAATAGCAATTATGGCATACATTTTCTTAACACTGACTGTTGGCATCCGCACAGTATCAGATTATAAAAATGTTTTCACGGATACCGGAGGTTGTATTTTGTTATTATCTACATGTCATATGACTGCGAGCTGTCATAATCACATTTATTTGTCAGTATGTACATTTTCTGTGGCATTGGACTAATAATGTTTATGTTTTGATGACGGCGTAGAGGAGAAAATGTTGCCTCAAATAATACATAAGTTGCCTTAAACAGAATATGTACATTGTACATTTAACAATTTATCAAATATTATTGTATAATAAATAAAAATTGTAATTTAAATCATTTAGATACAACATCAGAAATAGAACGCCTTTGCAAATGCAAGGGCGTTAAATGACCAAACAATAAAACAATTAATTTATTAATCAAGTCATACTTAGTTTATTATAAAAATAATCTATACATTTGTCCATAAAAAAATATATACTATGTACGAAACTTACAATATAAATGTATAACTCAAATCCTAACGTAACAATAAATCAACTCCTATAAATATATATATACATACATACACACACAAGTCATACGTTTTAAGTAATATGCATGTAATAGTTTTTAGACAGCCGAGTCCAAATTTTTGAAAATACAAAATACTTTAGTTTCTTTCCTCCGAGATGTGCTTTTCTACTTCCACTAATTTAGTTTGTATTGCACTACAAAAACAATGTTAAGTAGATGTATGGTTATGTATGTGTATGTATTGTATTAGTATATATTAATATTATAAATTTATAAATATTTATAAACGTATAATATTAATGTTATTCGTACACGGTTTAGTAATTCGATATTTTTTTTAATGATTAGAAAAATAATGTATAATAACATTTTAGTATATTACATAAAAATTAAATGAGAAAGAAAAAAAAAATATAGTTAGGCACTTTTGGCGGAGGGGGTATGAGGAATAATATGAATTGTTAAATTATTTACAATAATTCATTGTTAGAAAAATAAAAAAAAAAACAAATGTTTTGTTGTTTCACAATTATTAACAGGACACAAAAACTAAAAACTAAATAGGATTTTTTTCTTATTGGAATGGCACAGTGTCGCGGAACTTTAATATAAAACTTTGACATATAATAATATTTTTTTCTCTTTCATGAACACAATATATTGAAAAAAAAAAAACTCTTTACAAGAACAAATATATAATTACATTTATTGCCTGATGCCTCATTCAGTCATTTGTGAGGGGAAATAAAATACAATAAATGTACAAAATCGTAATAAACATTTTATACTAAGTATAGAATAAAAGTACGACCGACCTATTATTAGCACCAGATATATTAGCACTGGTTCAGTAATTATTATTAATTATTCCGTAAGGACTAGGTGGAATATATTAGGACTAATACAGTCTGTACCAATCCAATGACTGTTAGATAATGATAAACACAGGTGGCGGATATGGTAAGAGATCATTTTTCCAATGGGAAATGAAAATTATTAAAAATAATGATTTATAAAATATTTTATGCACTGGACAATGGTTGTTGGGATTTTTATTTTTTAACATTTCAATTCTAAGGGCAAAATAATAACTAAGTTAAAAAAAAATTTTAGAAAAAAAGTTCTCAAACTATCACAGAAGTACATTTTTTATTTTTACATACGTAAATAGTTAAACATTAAGAAAAGCATTCAGTCTTCCCATACTAAATGGGTCAAATAATAATAAATAATATTAATTCTATACAAAATGAACATGAAAAAAAAAATGAAAATTGTCAATACCCAAGTTAGTAATCAACTTTTTAGACGATAATTGTCTTATGGAATGTTCTATGATGTTTATGTACCCTCATACAGCAGTAGACATAGGCATATCTGGATCATCAATTTCACATACATTAGTGGAGAGTTCACTCTGACTTGGATATCGTTGAGGAAAACCGTATGTGACTACATCATCGTCTTCACTGCGGTATGATAAGTATAACTCTTCGTCGAGTGTTTCCAAATCCCTGGCTGGATCTATCAGATAGTTATACTTTATTAGTTTAAGGCAATATAAAAAATTATATTAACTTACCTATTATATGGTGATGCACTTCGTCGTTGCTGTCACTGTGGAAACTAGACGAATCGGGCACTTCACTACCAGGTACTTCACTGATATTAGGCAGAGGGTTTTGGCTGCGACGCACCCAGTCCGAACAGTCCCAATGGTAACCACCTAGTATTTTTGTGTCTTCTTCAGGACAGTGCATTGACATTCTTGGCACTCTGGTAACATCCGGAATCACTTTGAGATCTATAACAATTTTTTGGTAGAAATAAATTTGATGCCTCCGTCTTATAAATGAATAACATTAAACAAATTTATGTTAAACAGTTTAATTTCAGTGTTACTATTTCAGTGAATATCACATTGATATGGTTACTGTGACAACATTTACTGATTTGTCAAAAGTGTATTTTTTGATAGTTTTATAGGCTATTGAGTAAAATAATACTCATAATGTGCTTAAAATAAAAATATATGACACTTGAAAAAAAAAAATAAGAAAATGCTTTTAAACGGATTTGGTTGATTAAATTAAATATAAATCTTAAATTTTAAATCAAATAATTTGATATTTTTTTTAAAAGGAAACTTGTACACTTTTTGTTATGTATTATTTATTTATAGAGTATTTTTATATTCTTACCTTTACCGTTCATTATTTTGTTGTTGCTACCACCACGGTTCAAGTTGCGTAAATAATCAAGTGGGACATTTTCTAAGTCATCACCAGCTGAACCATAACTCCTGAGAGTGTCTAAATTGTTAAGTTGATTTGCAGCTACAGTAGCCATGTAAGCTGCGTCTGGGTTGCTTGCTATAGCAGTATAAGATACTGGCCGCTGAAAGACAAAAAATTAGTATTAGAAAAGAAAATAGTGTTATGCGGTGGTGTAATGTGTACATATACCTGAGCAACTTCTAGATTGCTGATTTTTGCAGTTCTTTTGAATTCTGTGTTCAACACATGTATATTCTTATTGCGACGGGCATTTCGACGTTTCACACGGCACTTCCTATAGTAAGGCAGGCAATCAATTGGTTATAAAAAATAAAAACAAGTAGTTTCTTAAATATAGCTGACCGATAAATGATAAAGAAATTACTGACCTGCATATGATCAATACACATATGACCATAATGATAAAAACCAAGGCAGCTGAGGCAGCAGTCAGTTGAATCCAAGTTATGTGCAAATTGGATAAAATTGGGGGCCAACAGGCAATTTCATTGCCGGCCAAGCAACGGTCTCCAACGCCTCGAGGCTTGTCACACTTGTATGTCCCATCAATTTCATTATCCGGTACACAAATCTCGTCCACAGAGCACTGACACTCTGAAGTCATTTTGTTTTCGCATCGTTTACCGACAAAACCTAATCGACAAGAGCAATGCGGTTGATGGGTATGCGCAGGCGCCACAAATGTTGCCATATCAGTAACTATTGTCTGAACCTGATCTGCTAGCCAAGTAATGCGCTGACTACACACACCCTGGCCAGGCGTACAATTACAAGGTGGTACATTGTTTGATATGACCAAGCCAGCCTTCTGAAGGGCAGTATGCATGGTATTTAAATCGGTTCCCTATAAAAATAAAATTCAACAGATTAGATGATAGCTAATAGGTAGGTAAGTGTTGGCTGTTTCAAAATTCAACACATTATGATCTCAACTTACGCCTCTGATGTAAAGCAAAATATCTAGGTTGCCTTGCGGAGCGTCTTGGATGCTGATCAAATTTACATCCTTACCCAAATTCAATTTTAATGTACGCATCAACAATTTTTTTTGGCTGGATATGAAATGTTGCGGTGTTACAGACTTTAACCTATAACAATGAATAAACATTGTGATTTGTTTGAAAATCCAATCATTATATTGATTCAGGCATACCTTATACTGATGGCTTCATTTAGCATATCATCAGTCAGTGAGTCTACAACCACATTAACTGTGGAGTTTGACGAAAATTTACCATCACTGACCGACACATTAATGGAGTAATAGCCAGCATCTAATCCTTGTGGTGCTCGTATCTCTCCTGATCTCTCGTCAATTTTGAATAGTTGATTGTGGTTCATCACATAATATGCCAATGTATCATATTCATCTTGGTCAGTAGCATGCACATGTCCTAATGATCCTCCTTGCCAACGGTCTTGCCAAGATCCTACCCAGACTTCTAGTGGTGTTATAATAGGTCGGAACTGTGATTCTTCGATTACCTAGGGAATAATAAGGTACATTTAAAAACAAGGTTATAGGTACACCGGTGAACAATTTTAGTTTTATTTCCAAGACTTTATTTAAGCAAATCAAATTTTGTTTATATTACTTGAGGTATTAACTGTATACTCAAATTAAAATGCATACAACTGTAAAAGTTAATTAATAATTAATTTTATAAAAATAACAAACATACCTACTTCATGTTTAATAATTATTTGAAGGCCAAAAGATTTTTTTTTTTAAATAATATGAAAATGTATCATTTAATATGTAAGATAATGGATGTATTTTTTTGCCTTTTTTACTTACAAATGTCTCTTTGTGTTCAATTTAAAATTGATTTAATAGTCTTATACATATATAACTTACCTATCAATCGTAATTTGTATTAGTAATTTTAGATCAGATGGTTATTTATGCATGAAATACGCACCAATAACTTTGGTGGAAGTAGAAAAATCAATCATTCTTTCAGTAAAAAAATATTTTAAGTTTAAACTTTCAAATTTCAGAAAACAATGTATGTATATACATGGTTGTTAATTATTTTTAAAATACAAATAAGTAATATTTAAAATAAATCTATAATACTGTTAAGTTCATTTTTAAATTTATGTTTTATATGCTTTTTTTTGGTATTTTTTTACATTTTAAGTGCTTTTTTAAAAATTTTTTTTATTAATCTGAGCTCTAATTATTTAACATTTTTACCTTAATATGAAGCCATGTGTCAGAATGTAGAAATGGTTTATGATTGTCAAATACACGTATAAGTAGTTTATAGTTCTGTTGGAAACGATGGTCTAGAAGCATAGCTGTCTTAACTGTACCATCAGGATCAATACTGAATGCATTGCCATCATCATTGTTACGAATGTCATAGGTGAATGGTCCACCGTTAGGTTCTAGGTCTGCATCTGTCACAGAAAGTTGGCAAACAATCCAACCAGGTTTTTTGTCCTCCTGAAAAGTTGTCATATATCATAATATTATTATGTGCAAGTACAAAAGAGGGTGTATATTTGTGTGTGAGTGTTTCATTGTTGAAACTAGGGTAACACATCTAGAGAGGATGCTATAATCCCAATAAATAATAAATGCAAGTTATCTCTATAATTGAATGCATTGTGCAGTTTCTATTAAAACTCAAATGTAACAAAGTTAAATTTTCTTGTTCTGTTGACTGTTGTTGCAATTTAATTTTGAATGTTAAATTTCTGTTGTATTTGATATATAAAATGTATGATTCGCAAATTTATAAACCTTTTTTTGTAACATAAATGATTTTCATAATTGAATATAATATTATAGACTTGTTTAGATAAAGATAAGTTTCAGACAATAATGTTAAAACATGACAAACTGTGAAGTTAATTCAAACATTTTCCTGACAAGTCTTAAGTCTTAAAACTATAAAAAAATGTTAGGAGTAACTTGTTTTTTTTTTTATGATTGGCGGAGGGACTAGACATCCCTAGTTGTACTAATTTTGTATAACATAATACTTACGTGGACAAATGCTGAGTAGTTATGCTGTGAAAACAATGGCGGGTTGTCATTAACGTCATTCACTTGTATTTGGACTAATGCAAAACTCATGAGTTCAGGGACACCTGAGTCAGTAGCTCGAATTTGTAGATTATAAGTTGATACCTGTGAAGAAAAGTGAATTGGTTGAAAAACAATTTTCAAATATTTCTTATAATAGAAAAATACTTTTTAATTAAATAACCTAACATATTTTATTAATTTAAGATACTGAACAATGTAGATGAAAAAAAAAGTTGTATTTTGCAGTTGTAAAAATATATTATTACCTGTTCACGATCTAAAGGCTTGGCAACAGTTATGTTGCCTGTTAAAGAGTCTATGGCGAACTGTTGATGGTGGTCTCCTTTAACCAGGGCATAACGTATTTTTCCGTTGAGTTCGCTGTCCAAATCAGTTGCCGAAACTTTAATAACAACTTCACCAACGTGTACGTCTTCATCGATTTGAGTGGTATATGCTAGTTGACCAAATATTGGTGCATTGTCGTTGGCATCCAAAATTGTTATATTCACCATCGCCTGGTTACTCAATGGTGGTTCACCCAGATCTGTTGCTTGTATTGTCAGCAAGTAGTCACGAACTCTTTCATAGTCGAGCATTTCAAACACACTTATAATACCAGTTTCTGAGTTTATCGAAAATTTGTTGTGTTCGTTACCACCGGCAATTGAATACACTACTTCGGCATTTTTACCAGAGTCAAGTGACGTAGCCAATACTCTGGTTACTTCAGTGTCAATGGGTGCAATTTCAGTAACAGTAGCATAGTATGTTCTGGAATGATAGTTAATAGTTACATAAAATTGCGAACAATAAAATTGTTTGATTTAATTTACCTTTGAACAAATATTGGTGGGTTGTCATTGACATCCAATACAATTACATGTAGCTGGGTGATGCTTGAAAGTGGAGGGGAACCATGGTCAATGGCTTTGACAGAAATATTGTAGGTCTCGCAAGTTTCACGGTCCAATTTTTTAGCCAGTGTTACAATACCACTATCCGATGAAATAATAAAGTGATTTTCAGCTGAATCTAGTAATGAAAACTTAAGTTTTCGATTTAGACCTAGAAAAATTATTATCATTTTTGTTACATAATTCAAAAAGTATTTACATCCAATTTAAGTTTACCTATGTCAGCATCAGTCGCATGCATCTTGATCACTATGGTACCAATTTGTGCATCTTCTGACAATGAGGCAGTATTATTATTATTAGAAATAAATAATGGAGCATTGTCATTGACATCCAACATTGTAATTTCCACTTTAGACACGCATTCCCATTCGTTTTTTTCTCGATCTTGTACGTGTGCTTCTAAGTTGTACCGTGACTGCAGTTCACGATCCAGAGTCACTGCTGTTTTTAATAAGCCTGTAAGCATGGACAATATTTAATTTTCAATATAAAATATATAATATTTTATTTATGTTGAATAAAAAGTAAAATAATTTTGTAAATTTTGTATTTATATTTAGTTATAAAACATCTACAAGTACTCAATTTAAAATGTATGGTTTAATAAATGAAAATTTAAATTATTTAAGTAAAATTATTCTGATAAATAAGATTAAAAATATGAAAATTACCAGTATCTATATCTAAACTAAAGTGTTCTGCTCCATAACCAGTAAGGTAATATCGTAATTTTGGATTTAAATCTGTATCACGAGCTTCTATTTTTAATATAAAATTGCCAATTGGCACTCCCTCTGAAAGCATTCTCCTGTAGCGGTGATGAAGACAGTATGGTTTTTCATCTAACAATAAAATAAAAAGATTATTTTTAATTAAATTAGTTTTTTTGCTTATTGTGAATATGATATACCATTAACGTCTGTGACTGTGATATGAAGCTGTGTAGTCGAAACATAAGTTCCATCGGTAACTAATATTGAAAGTTGATAATTGTCTAATGTTTCTCGATCTAATGTGTTGGCTACATAAACTTCACCAGTTGACCGGATGGCAAATTTGGAATGCATATCCCCATCACGAATGTGATACATTAATGTGGTTGGTAATTCATTGTCATCGTCTAATAATGTTAATTGTACTACAACCGTTCCAGGTAGCGAATCTTCCTCAACTGTGATATTAAAATTAGGTTATGCTACATGACTTAAATTTCAGAGTTGAAATATATGTGTTACCTGATGCTGCATATGAAGCTTGAGAGAAACGTGATGGGTTGTCGTTATAGTCAACCAAAGATATATGTACTTTAACAGTGGAGTTTAATGATGGTGTTCCACTGTCAAAGGCCATTACATCAAACATATAAGAAGATTTTACTTCTCGATCCAAATTTGATACAGAAACACTAATTGATCCAGAGTACTGATCAATCACAAATGGTACATTAGATTTGGAATTGATTAAATATTTGATTTCACCATTTTTGCCTTCATCTAAGTCAATTGCATGAGCTATAAACACAATTATTGGTTACAAAAACGAAAAATTATCAAATTAAAATATTAATATTGCATTACTTTTCACCACTAGAGTGCCTTCAGTAATGGCTTCTGATATTCTGGCACTATAAAAGTCATTGTCAAACTCTGGAGCATTGTCATTTTCATCTAATACTTTTACATAGACTTCAGTCAATGCAGTTAATGGAGGAGATGATTCAGTGTATGCAAACACGCCAAGTATGTGGAATGCCTGTTTTTCTCTATCCAACAAGCCAGTAACACTTATCTGACCTTGATCGTTTATTGTGAATAGTTTGGCGGTCTCATCAGAAGCAGTGATTTTGTATTTGGTTTCAACTTGAGATACCAATTTTACAGTTGTTACAATAGTGCCTGTTGAATTTAAAATGTATGTTTATATAATATTCAGTTTCGAGTTTATAAATATTATAGATCCTACCAATAGGAGAATTTTCTGTTAAATTAAATTTTTGGTCTTCTTGAAGAAATACGGGAGGAAGGTCTTCAGGTGATAACACAAATAGCTCTATAGGGACATCTGATTGTCTTGGTGGTGTTCCACTATCCGTTGCTCGTATAAAAAACTGATACACATTATTTTCTAAAAAAAAAATGAATTGATTTAATTTAAGATCTGTCATTACTAAAAAATTGATCTATAAAAAACACCATACTTAAGGATTCAACTGTTTTCAGTAAAACAAGAGCGCCTGTGTACTTGTTCACAGTCATTAGTTTTGTTATGTCACTAGGTTCAATATCATTGATTGAATAAGTAATTTGACCAGATGGTTCTTGGTCATCGTCGACTGCTTTCACCTAATATTTATGAAAAATAATTACAATATAAAAGTTAGTTTATGGTTTTCAATTGCATATAACTATTATAGCAAGACTAACCGTGAGAAATCCTGTGTTGACTGGTAGTGAACTGTGTATGCATGTTTTGTATTCTGGTAAAAGGAACCGTGGTGAATTATCATTTTCATCGCTCACCCGAACTCGAACCAAAGTATATCCACATCTAGCTCCTTGGTCACAAGCCAAAACGCTTAATTCATATAGTGATGTCTCTTCTCGGTCTAATGGCATTCTCGATATAATTTCTCCTTTAATATAGAAAATACATATTATTGTTATACATTTTTCAATAAATTTATCATTTTTTAGTTTTATATTATACATACCAGTAACATTATTAATGTTGAATATTTTTGACATCTTCTTCGACGGTATTGAGTAGCTCACCTCACCATATGGACCTGTATCATTGTCTATTGCCTGAACACGAATGATTACAGTCCCTGACAATTGATTTTCTAAAATGCGTCCATCGTATTGGAGTTTTTCAAACACAGGATTATATCTGTTTGTCGACACCATTTCAATTCTAACTCTTGAGAAACTTGTATACACTCCATCACTAACTGATACATTGAGAACATGTTCGTTTACAGTTGTTAACTTGTTCAAGTTTGAAACAATTATAATACCTAAACAAATTTGATTAAAATTATTACATATATAAATATTAATACTAGTATAATATAATTCACTCTTACCGGATTTTGAGTTAATATCAAACATTTGTTGAGCATTTCCTCCAGTTATGCCATACACCAGGCGTGAGTGATCAACAATATCTGGATCGGTAGCAGTAACCATAGTAACAAACTGCCCTCTTTCAGCATCTTCCGATAACCAACATGAGTATGAAGATTGTTCGAATTTCGGTGCATTGTCATTTACATCCAGTACTATAATAAAATAAGGTTATAAATAATACATGATTGTTAAACTGAAAGGAATATAATATTAAGACTAACCGGTAATCCAAAGATGAGTTGTGGTGCTCAATGGTGGTAAACCTGTATCAGTTGCTTCTAATACAACATGGTGAAATGGGCGTGTTTCATGGTCTAACGATTGTTTCAGATAAATTGAACCTTCTTTTTCATCTATGTGAAAGTAATCAGAAGAATTTTCTTCATCTTTTTTGATAGAATATTTAATCACACGATTTACATCTAAAATAAGTAAAAAAAAAATTTATTTAAAATGTATTTAATAAAATTACTCAACATTTTTTTAATGTTAATTTCATATAATGTTTTACCGGTGTCATTGTCAGTAGCTGTAACTCTCAGTATAAATGAACCAAATGACGCAGATTCTGATATAGAGATGTTATAAGAGTCTTGAAAGAATTCAGGGGCACAATCATTTACATCTGTTACCATGATACTGACCAACACCTCTGCTGATACTCCAGACACACTGTCTGTAGCTCTAACAGTCAATGTGTAATGTTGGACTTGTTCATAGTCCAAATTATCCACAGCATACAATAAACCTATTTAAATGTAATTATACTTTATATTGCATTGGTATATAAGTAGTTCAACATAATTCATGCTTCACAAAACACATGTTGTAAGTATTTAGCTAACTTGTTTTCAGATTTTTCACTTATAAAGCATACCAAATTTATATTCCATAAAAACATTGAAGAATACAATAAATTGTAAAGGAAAATCTGAAGACAAATGCATAAAATTAATATAAAATATCACCTAAGAAAACTTGGACATAGTAATTGAAGTTAAAAATTTTATATTATTAACAAAAGCTGTGTTTAAGGGTTAGGTTAATCATGCGCAGAAGTAAAGATTTATTATGGTGCTTTAATTCCTGATGTCCAAGTTTTATACTGGGAGTTTAGGAAAACTCTGAAAAAAGCACAAAACACACACAATAGAATAACTATAATGTGTACTCACTAGTACCACCGTAATCATCAGCTGTTGAGACCACCAAGAAAAGAAATAAAATACAAATAGTAAGTGATGTGTTACATAGAAGTGTAAATATTACTAAATAACAATTATAAATCTAAGAATTTATTATCCTTCACCATTAAGCTTAAGGTAATAATGAAGAGTGATTAATATTTAATAATGATTAAATAGTTGTTAAAGAAAAAATAATTTAATAGATTACTAACCGGTGTTGAAATCTATGGCAAATTCTTCAAACGTATTTCCAGATACAATACTGTAAATTAATTTCCTGGCCAATGGAGAGTCAGCTCTAATAGTTAACGGTATAGGTGCGTAAAGATCAATATTTTCTGGTACAGAGACAGAGTAGAATTGTTTGTCAAATACAGGCATTGATCGATCCATAACTTTAACATTGACTTCTACTTCAGTCGAATAAGACTGTTGTCCTAAAAATTTTTTCAAACAACAATAGTGGGTGTGAATAAGATTAAAAACGAATTAATAATTATTGTTGATCATTACCTCCATCGAATGCAGCAACAGTTAATTTAAATTCACTTATACGGCCATTGTTTTGACTTTCCAGATTATGTCGCAGAAATATCTCTCCAGTGCTCCTAGACACTCTAAACAGTTCGCCAGGTCCTTTAGTTAGTTCATATCGCACAGCTGCATTTTCTCCTTGATCCAAATCCACAGCATGTACCTAATTTTTAAAATTAGTAAATACATGTTTTAAAATATATTTTTTTTCATTTTATAATTACCTTTGTAACGAGATCATCTTTTTTTGCGTCAATAGATACAATTGCATAATATGGTAAGTTAACAAACATTGGTGCGTTGTCGTTGATGTCTAAAATAGTTACGTTGATTGGAACATGAGCAACTCTTAGTGACTCACTGTCAGCATCCATGCTTTGAACCTTAATATTTAAAAATACAACACATTAACTAGGTGAATTTACTATTCGTAGTAACTATATTGAAACATACTTGTACAATAATTTGGTAGATTTCCTTAACTTCACGGTCAAAAGCAATTCCTGTTGTGCTAAGTATTCCCGTAGTTGAGCCGATTTGAAAATGACTGCTTGGATTCGAAATGGAGAATAGTAAATGTTCATTAAGATGTGCTCCAATGACGGTGACAGCACACAGAAATCTGACTTTCGTATCGTTTTCCACAATCGTTGCGTAATATATAGGTTTTTGAAACTTGAGACTGGAGTCTTCGCTTCGATACCAACGGACATTGACATTTCTAAGAAGCAAAAAAAAAAAAAAAAACCCCAATAGTTTATTATGACATATTCCAAATACCAAAAATTGATTCAGTGTACTATGCCTGTATAATACATTATACCATTGATTTTCTTATAATAAACAGAATAAGCAACGGAATAGTATTCGACAGCTTGCGACTAAAATTATATTTATATGAATTGTCAAGAGATTTCGCTGTGTCAGTGAACATAATATTATTTTTATCGAAATAACAATTTTCTATTATTATTGTCTATAGTGGTTGAACTTAAGAGATGAACTGGAAGGTGTGCTAAAATCGTGTAGGTAGTTATTGGAAAGCTGTAATTTTCAGGCAGTAAAAATTTGATTTGTAAACTGCACATCAATTATGAAATTACAAATATACACAAAAACTGGTAAAAGTTATTTCTATTTTTGAGAATAGACCTAATAAGAACCTTATACTATGTATATATAAATTATTTATTTGTATGTTACTTGTTTCCTTTTCACGAGACATGATATTTGTTGTTGTCAGTACACAGACTCATATAGGTAATCCGTATTCATTAACATCTTTTTTATATAATTACTTACACTAGTTAACTTACTTACTTAATAGAACCTATCATACATTTCCATAGTAGGAATAGGAGATAGTGGTTTTGAAATGGCTTATAGTTACGAGAGTTAGAAATGATTTCTTGGAAATCTAGAAACGGCCGAAAATTCCGAACGATTATAGCAGTCGTGATTCTAAGAAAACGTTCATCATATTATAATAACGAGATGTGTAATTGGATATAATTGTATTGAATAGTTCTATTTATTAGTCTGTGGTATTTACACGTAGGTATTGTAAAGTTTACCGCAGCGGCAGTTGAAATTCGATGACAAATTATTAAGATAAAGACCATAATACTATCTGTAGAATAACCATAAGCAAAATTAGGTAGTTTTATAGCTATTTAGAACATGTTGAACTGTTCATAATGTTTTGGCGACACCGCGACTATTCTATTAGGTGTTTTTTGGATTTTACAAAACTTATACTGATGACATTATGAATTTAATATGTAACTTAAATAAATTCTAAAATCACTGTGGTATTCAAATATGAGGAATGGTGATTAATATTCACTCACAAGTGACCTATGCAGTGTCTTCCCTTGATGCGCCAAAGTATATAATCCTCAGGGAATGGATGACGTGTTCATCGAAGCGGAAGTGATGAGGCTTGCAAATATATCTCAAGTAAACCAGAAACATTGGTGCAGTCAGGATATTTTGTTTGAATGGGTGAGGGTTAAATTTGTGTAGAAAGTATTTTTGATAGAGATCATTAAAAATATCAAAAAAGTGTCAACTAGCTATTCTTATGCTATGGTGAAGCATATGGACTTCGTGTATTATTTATGACGGCCAACAACTCTACAGCATTGCTGTCCGGTTTATAATAAAACTGATGGCTAATTCATTTAATCTAATATAGTTTTACCGTACGTTTGGCGTGTTGTAACAAAATAATATTTGGAATAATCCGGAATACAGTCCGTATTAATGTGAATAGTGGTGAGTCACAACCGTGTTGTAGTTAAATTGCCTACACAGGACGCCGTGTCATAATAATCTTATTATTGACATACTCAAAATGCATACACAAGGTTAGGTTAGGTTAACAGAGTGAATTGAAAAAGTAATCAACGATTCCAATGGCAGTACAAACGCCGGAACAAAAAAGTTAAAAAGAATTAAAACGAAGGGGTGCACTGATAGTATAAGATATCTATAGGCTTATTAGAAGATATTATGGTATTAAGCGTTTTGTAATAATTGTAAGGGTGCCTCCCTTCACGGAAAAACTGGAGCCGATAAGCGTTTTAATATACCGGACTAAAACTAGTTAACGGTAATGGATATATTTTTAAAATCTTACGATTGGCTGGAGTATTTTCCATCGGTGACGGAAACGGCTAAATTATGAGGACTCGACTTGATGCCCAAATTTGGTTCCTTAACCGTGATAAGTCCTCTATCGGCGTCGATCGTATAAACGTTTGCTTCGTTTCCACCGATAATCGAATACGTCAATTTCGTCTGACCTGGAGAATCTCCATCGGTAGCGTTTAGTTGGACGACTGCCACATTGACATAGGTGGGAATTAACACGGACGCATTGTACTCGTAGCTCGTAAATACTGGCGGACAGTCATTCACGTCCAAAATCGAGATGAATACTTTGGCCAGAACGTCTGAGGTCCGCCTCGGGTTGCCTTGATCGATGACTCTGACGCGGAACGTTATATTCGGCGAAGTCTCGTAGTCCAACAGGGTTGTCGTCCTGATGGCACCTATGAATGACGAATAAACAACACCAATCAACAATCGATAATAATATTCTATTGTAATACATGATTATTATTGATATCGTCGTCTGCAGTGAGTCGCAGTGGCATATTTGAGACTTAATATTTTTACATTTTACAAAAATAAATTAAGAGTTAGATATATATATCACATTTTTTAAAATCCACATATGTCACACAATCCACAGATATATCAATGGATCACAGAGTATCCAACAGCAGACAGTTTGACTTTAATATAGTTTAATGTATTTTTAAAAAGCTGGGGTTTTCTTAATCGTCACTTCTTACTCAAATACACCATCCGTGTCTAGTAGTTACCGTCGTGATTCACTTACCCGTGTTGGAAACAACGTGAAACATTCGGCTCTGTAGAAATTCCACTATTTCGTATTGCAGTAAACCATTCGAACCGGAATCGGCGTCCGAAGCTTTGATTAGCATGGGCAATGTGTCATTGAGAAGGACCAGCGAACCGATGGGCGCAGCTTCACTGATGACACCCTTGTAGCTTGTGTTTATCAGTACGGGTGAATTGTCGTTTCTGTCAAGCACGTGCACCGACACGCGGCAGACAGCTTTCGAACCGGCCTGTAAAGATAGAACAGCGAGGGGGGGATTAAATTTTATTCAGACCTAATTGTATTGAGGTACACATAATTATATACATATATATAAAGAGATAATCGTAACTGTGATAATAATATTGTGATGATATCTCAAAACGTGTTATTCACTTTTGTAAATGTATATAACATATTAATGTGGCTGGTACCGAATTGGTTCCCGAGCCATAACCCCGCATGCCAAATTGGTTCCCGCTTGAAAAAGGTATTTTATTCAGTTGAGCCGAATTGCTTCCAGCAAGCAAAAGCAGGTTAGAACGATTAGACACAATATGTCAAATCAATTAAAATAATTAGAAAACGATAACGGATAAATCCATACAATTAATAAATAAACTGTATTATCCTACTCTGCCAGGGTCATAAATAAGTTAAAACATTTTTTATTTTAAATGCCACGGTGAAAATCGTTATACACCGTGTATTTTTATCTACCAGATCTCGTTTTTGGAGGGCAGGCTAACCTTTATTTTGGTAGTCTATGTCCAATCATCAACAATATATTATAAACAAAACCACATGTAAATTGATTCAGTAGTTTTGGAGAACCTGAACAATTATAGGTGGCTTTGTTTTATACAGATAGTCACGTAATATTCCGAATAAAATATGTTGAAATAAATGCATACAAATATACGATAAAAAGTCAAGCAACTGAAATCGAATTTACATAGATGTACACGAGATAGGTATAGAATTTCGAGCAAGTTAGAATCATAATTAAAACCGTTGTCGTTTCCGAAGCTTATTACCATATTCGTAGCAGTGACGCTCAGGTTGTACACGTGACACGATTCGTAGTCTAATGGCCGTCTGGTGACCAACACCCCAGTGCTGGGATTTACTGCGAACAGGCTGTACGTGTCGCCCTCGACTAGTTCGAACAGCAGAGACGACGTGCTCCTGGCTTGCAGACGTTTGACCACAGTCCCGGACGGTTCGTTCTCGTAAATTTCGGCCGATTCTTCAGGATTGTTGAACCTTTTTTATATTTTGAAAAGAGGGAGAAACGATTTTCGAAAAAACACCGTTAATACATATTATGCGTAGGTATTATATTATAGTACTATTACACGCAGTCGTGGCGGAATAGGTATACTTACTTGGGCGGAGCATTGTCGGCCATGACGACCATTATGTACACGGGTATGGTCGAGTACAGCGGCGGCGATCCCGAGTCCACGGCTTTTACGATCAATGTGTATTCTGACGATACGGACATGTCTAGCTCTTTCATGACGTGCAGTGTGCCCAGCTTACTGTCGATGCTGAACACGTTGCCGATGTTCCCTGCAGTGTTTAAGGTGTTTCGAGGGTTAGATAAATGCAGTCAAGTAGTCGGGATTTCGTTTCGGGGGGAGGGGGTGGTTTTTAATTTTATATTTAAATATTAGATGAGGGGGGCTTTACAGACTTTAACAATTGTAGTCATTAATCGTTGTCGTCATAAAAATAATATTACATAAGAAATAGAACTATATGACAACATATTTTGTAGGAACCTGAATATATTGTAGGTACATAATATTATGTTGCTTGCATAAAAATGGACGGTTGTTTTAACACACAAAACTCCCTCAAGCTACGGCACTAGATAAATGCATCCAACACGAGACGCAGTGCAATATTTATTTTTATTTTTTCATCGGTCCACATCGAATCGGAATTGCGAATTTCATTCTAGTTGACAGGAAAGAGCCCGTCTAGAGTTATATATATATATATATATATATATACACATGTATAATCGAATTTTTTCATCTACTTTTGTGTACACACGCCAGTCTAAAATTCGAGCATTTTTCGTTTTATAAATATTTACAACCGAAACAATATCCGTTTAAATACGAATTCTGATACATATAATGTATTTATTTATTTAATAATAACGTAACGGTTCTGAGCCCGACGCGAAACATATAGTCTGAATACATACGATGACAATATAATGAAAACGATATTGAAATATTTCTTCACTGTGATGGAAAACTCAATATAAAGTTGTGACAATTACTGTAGAAACTTACCGGATATGATTTGATACGATACGGCAGCATTTTCGCCGTGATCTTTGTCCGTGGCCAACAACTGCAGAACACTAGTACCTACGGCGGTGGTTTCAAATACCCGGCCTTGCACGATGTTGGAACTGAATTCGGGCGCGTGATCGTTGCTATCAATCACCGTGATCAAGACGCGCGCAAAGTTCTTTTTTGACGGCGTGCTCTGATCTTTGACCACCACGGTCAGCTCGTGTCTGGCAATGCTTTCTCTGTAAATGTTAAGCTCAATAATGATAATTCGTAGATTGACACCGTTCACGAGGGGTGAACTTTATATTGTTGAAGTATATAAAAACAAATTGTGGCACGAATATTATACATATTATAATGTTTAGTGTAAGAAACGAAAGCTTATATTTGTTAACACGTGATGTTATAATGATAAAGAATGATGCTGATAAATGTTACTATAATTTGACTTTATAGAGAGGAACATTTTAGATTTAAACAGCAGTCTCTCTTAAGGAAAACCTATCAAAACGATGAAAAAAAAAATATGGGAAATATTACGATGAGCCATGCTGTATTCAAATGTTTACTCACATTTGAGTTATTTCACTGCGTTCAGAAAATAGAAATTTTTAAGATTAAAAATAAAAATTTTAAATACTATTTAAACACTTAAACACTATGTTTGTAGTCGAATTTCATTTAAATTAGACTTATATCAAATAGGAGACAGGTACCTAATTATAAGATACGCGTGTATAATATTACCTGTCCAGCGGTTGTTGCACCGACACGACTCCCGACTGGTAGTCGACTGCGAACGATTTCACCGATTTGACGTGCTGTGCGCTGTGTATGCCGTACAACAGCCTCAGGTCCTGGTCGTCGTCGGTGGCCATAAGCCGCACGACTGGCGAACCGATTTCCGCGTTTTCCGTAACGTTCACCTCGTACAGGTCCTGCGAGAACTTCGGTCTGTACTCGTTGATGTCTTTGACGCTGACAAACAGCTGTGTGGCCGTTGTGTACACGCCATCTGTCACAGCCACGGTCAAGTTGTATTCCTTCTGCTTCTCCCAGTCGAGCTGCCGTGCCAGCAACACGTTGCCGTCGTCCTCGATCATGAAATCCGAATTTGGATCACCGCCTTTGAAACAAGAAAGCGCATTGTCATATATTTATATATAAATATTAAATACAATACATACTATACGCAGTGTTGTATGGCGATATTATAATGAAGTTTATTTCGAGCTTACATAAGTATACAAACCAAACAATATTAACCGTATTTTGCGCATCCGTGTGGATGTCTATACGTCGGTCGACTACTAATCGACTGTGAACCAATATTGATGGAAGGAAGATATTGTAGTGCGGTACAGGTACTTAACTAATTATATAATATCGTTTAACGCGTATTCGCGGAAAAATTTTTGGAAATAAGTGTAGGTGTACCTACATACTACGTGTTTATGTTTAATATAAAAACTTTATTAGGAGCTCACATCTTGGTTTATTTTATTTGAATGTAATGAAAAAAGTATTCTTTGTAACTATATTAATAGTATTTTATAAGTTCACAAGTGCATGACTACGTACTGTATTTTAGAAAAAGATTGTAAAACTTTTAACAGCGAAGAAAAATTCAAAGTAATATCCAAAAGTCTTTAATATGGTGAATAATAATATAGGTATGTATAAAAATAATTTCATAATCGTACAGAAAAATAGTTTGTGTCTGACATTTATGAATTAAACGAAGAATTGCACCAAAGTGCTTATAAAAAAAAAAAAACATTTCACAAAGAATTTAAAATACAAACATTAATAAACATTTTATTGTTGTGTTTAGATTCAAGATGAAAAAAAAATAGAATTTTGCTATTGGGAATGGACGCAAAAGACAACTAACACATAAAAAAAATGGTTTCGTTTGTATTTACTTTTCAATATCATAAATATAGATAGTTCTTTATACTCGAACGCGTAATTGTGTTACCGCGCGTTTTGAAGTTGGTATTTCCAAAACATTTCCAGGGCCTTTTTATTGTAATAGAAAGCCACAGAAAAGAAGTACGGATGATTAAGTTGTTTCAGAAATAATAGCACGGTAAGTGAGGTGGTTTAAGTCCTTTCAGGTTAACACATTTCGGGTTTTTGTTGTAGTTATATATTACCCTCAAATATTATTGTCTGACATATTATATTCATTTTACGGTCGTTAAGAGTTGAAGTTAGGCAAATACAAGATTAACAAACATTTGAGCTAGGTAGCTAAATTTAATAGAGGATAATTGCAAGGAACTTGGAGTGATATAAATAATCGATTAATTAATGACGGGTCACTTACTTTCGATCCGGTACCAAAGGTAATCCTGGTCTTTGTCCACAGCATTGATAAGTGCCACAATGTAGCCGACGGTATCGCTTTCTGTAATGTCTACTTTTTGATTCGGATTTTGGATTTCAGGCACGTGTTTAGAGTTCTCGGGTATTTTCAGCACTTCAACGATTACTTTCGCTATGGCACTCATGTTTGGCGACCCGTTGTCGGTGGCTCTTATCTAAATCACGAACAAATTGTCAATTTGATATAGGTAGTAAGTATTATTTTTGTTAAGCGATTCGTATTCGAGGTCATTTCGGTTTTCAATTTTTTTTAAAGTGAAATATGACGACCACCTCGTTAGCACTAATGAGATGTTATAGAAAATAAATAATATGTATCCTACATGTTTAGAGGGGTTACGCGGAGATAGCGTTCATTAACAATATACGAGTCGATTTCTGTGGTTTAAGTAAAAGGGTGTATATTGCATGTTTAAGTATTATGTACCTTTATATTTATTTACTATGTACGTATTTGATATGTGTGAGCACATTATCCACATCGTTGACTTAATATAATAAACGAGACTATCCAATTATAAAAATGTAAAAAAATAAAAAACGATTGTTTTTATCAAAGAGAAGATAATTATTTTTATAAGTAATCTTGTTAAGAAAAAAAATATTTTCCTGGGATTATGTAAAAAGTGGAATAGCTTTTTGAGTACCTATATACCTTTATAGGAATAACAATTGAATTAATCTGTTATAACAATATAAATTATTCATAATACATCTATTATATTAAAATAATAAAATATGATATTATAAATAACATTTCGCATATAAATACTTTTTGAATGGAACATTATACGAGACGGAATATACCATGAAGATTATAACTACAATATTATATATGTCTGTTATTGTTTAGAATATTCACATGAAACTTTGTCACGATTCGTTCAAAATTGAAAAAGTTAAAAACAAACCAGTATTTGTATAGGTACGTAACTTTAAGATCTAGATTACCCGAGCTTTTAATATTTATACTAACTCAGATTTGAATTTAAGCTTAACGTAGTAATATTATATACTGGAAAGAATACACAATACACATATACAGATCATAGAAATAAATGCAAAAAGGCAGTACCTACTACCAAAGTATTAAAAGGTATTGTTAATAAATAATAGTAATCAGTATTTCACACTAAGACTTGAATGGATCGTTTGTCATTTATTCCGTTTTTCTTAGAAAATATTACGTAAGAAAATATTGTTCATCCGATTCTGATATTATACCCAAAATATATTCAATAACTCTTGGAGCCTTATATATTGATATTGTTTGTGGTTTATAATTTGAAATATACTTAAAAGACTTTCGGATAAAACAAAATAAAAACGTCCGAATGACGAAGATTAAAAACAAATCTGCAAGGACTGCGCTGAAGCTAAACGATTTTCGTGATTTAAACCGTATACAGTAGTGTAAAGTGGAATGAATCCAAGATACGGATGAGTTTAGATGTTCGATTCGGAGTAAATAATGATGGTTCGAACGCGTATATGTGTCAAACAAAAAAAGTTCTTTTTTCTCCCGAGGAAAAATGTGTTTGGCTTATACATCGAGATTCCGCATGAAAATAAATTGGATTTTGATGTTTTCATACCAACGAAGACGACCGCGACAACGAATATATATGCATGGAACGAATAATGGTGTAATAAACCAAATGGCATTATAATCAGAATAGTATTAAAGGTATACTCCTCCCTGCCCCGGTACGCATTGGTAAATAAATTAGCATTAGAACGGAAAATGCGGTTTGAGTGAATATATATATATATATATTGTATATAAGTATATATTATAAGTCATTTTTTGCTGGTATATTCAAAACGGAATAATTAATTGGGTTGTCACTTAATACGAAAGAAAAATAATATTACTAAATTATTTCGAAAGGAAAGAATAAATAAATCAATTTTAAACAATAGTTGGTGTTAAAATTGTATAAAAGTTAATATAGGTGCTCGTACAATATATACTGGGTAATTCACCCTCGGTTTTCTTTAAAAATAGTTTTATTCAAATTCAAATTTTTGGAACTTTTGAATAAACTTGATGGCCATATTCCAAATTATTAAAAATTTTAAAGAAATTTAAGGAAAGTCATTATGTGGCTCTACATGAAGGGATCTAAAGAGGGTGATTTTAATTTATAAAAAAAGAAGTTGAAGACATATATTTGGCCATATATCGGACATATTTTTAAAATATATAGGTATAGGTACTATAATTTTTTTTCATATTTTGTGAACCATTTAAGGAGTGACCCAGTGATGCCAACTTACTTTTTATCGAATGATAACCATCCATCTAAATTATTGGAAATAAGCATACATATTATATTACATGTTGTATTTAAAATTTCAAAAATTAGAATTGGAATAGATTCATTGCCTATAAATTAAAGAAAAGTAACCATAAAACCATACCTACTCGAAATTTTTCCTCTCGAAGGAAAATCTATGAATCATTTTTAGTTAATACCTATAAGTAACCATGGCAAGGAAAACCTTACGAAAAATTAGTCAGAAACAAAAAACGTGTATCCAACCCAAAAACGTAGTTATACAAAATGAGGACGAGTATGCTTGGTGAATCATCCTATATATATATATATATATGCCACACGTTAAGATTCTATTAAATAGGATTCTATAACTCGGTGTATCTTTAATATATTGGTATTGCACTAAGTAATTAAATTAGAGGTCTACCTATCTACTATGTTATAGAGGTAAAATATAAATATTAAAATATTTTAGCAGTGCATCAAGTTTGAAACTTAAGCCTCTTAAAAACATTGTACTATCGGTTAATAATAATAGTTCATTGAAAATATGAACTATATTATTTAATAGTTTGTGTCATTCAATTAAAAGGCGGAGTGTAATTAAAAGGGTCAAGTTATGTAGTAAAAAATTAATAGATAAAAAAATAAAATAAAACAAGGAAAATAATTTCTACTATTAGAGTATGTATTTAATTTTTTATTTTGATGATAAAATAAATGATGTTGTTTACTTCCAAATGGTATATTACAGTTAATAGAATGTTATTGATTTTAATGGCTTTGTTAAATGCAATAATGACATCTCGTGGCTTCGTAATATTAATTATGACGTGAATTCACGAAATTACATTACCTACGGGTGTTTAAAGTGGCAGACATAGTTATTAGTTATTACATCGAACTGCACCAATAGATTTTAATGTCATTAAAAATCATAAACTTGTGGAAAAAAATCCTGATAATATTTTATGTCAAATATTAAAATGGATCAATTATATAATGCTATTTCATAATAAACTGTCTTTAAAGGGCTGAATAATAAAAAAAAAAGCCATTGAAAATCGTCTTAGCTAGTACACGTTTTTGAAAAGCAGTAAATAGATTTTTTCCGTTTATACACTCACACAAATAAACCAAATGATTCTTCAATTATTAAAATATCAATTATTATCGGTAGTAGTTTCAAAAAAGTTTTACTCACGTAGAATGAAAAGTCTTGGTTCCCTCGAAACGAGTGGTCTGAATATATTACTCCGGTGTCAGGTTCCACAGAAAATATATCGTCGTATCCTTGTGCAGCTTTCATAGTGTATGTTAACCGAGCATTGTCTCCAGAATCCTTGTCGCTGGCCACAATCTATAGACAATTTTATACACACAAACACGTATAAAAACTGTGGAAACTAATTGCACGTGCCACCGTCGTAGCTGAGATTAAAAAGTATTTATTTAAAATTATTATATGGATGAACACAGATAATTCAGTGATATCTATTAGTATTAGAGCGTAAAGGTCATATTGTTTAAAAAGTACCTATACATATAGGTACAACGATTAATGGTTGGAGGGAGGAGGAGTAAAAAGTTATGTATATTGTATATAAGCGCTTTATTTTGGCAATCACTAAATAGTTTCTAAAATGACTTCTAAAAGTTCACCTACCCATCCTAAAAAAAAAACCCACAATCAATAATATCAAATGGAATATACAGAGTGATTGTTTTTAATGCAAGAAACTTATTTACTGAGACACATTGTGGAAAAATTAAATTGTAAGTTTTTTTTGTTATGCTGTTATTTTTAATCATAAATATTTTTCATTTAGATTTTTTAACGAAAAATATAAATATAACACTGGATTGATATGCAACCCATTTTATTTTATAATTCGTACGGATAGTTTGAGCATTGAATTTGGATTATCTGTAGCAGTACCTAACATGTAACACGTATTTAATAATTATTACATTTTTTTGAGATTTTAACATTTTTCATAATTAATTATTACAAATTACAAACAATCACAATATGGTTAATGTATGTTTTGTTTTTATTCCAAGCCTTATCCGATTTAAAATAATAATTATTATTTTATGGGCGAGACGTTCTTTTCCGAGACACAACATAATATTATATCAAAGGACTATCATTGGGTACATAAAATAAATAAGGTTGAATACCCTAACATATATACATTGTTAATTAGATGAATTTGAAATTCAATTTCGAATAATAATTCGAATCATATATTATGCTATTATGATTACAAACAATATTTCATTGTATTAACATACAATATATATTGTTCTTAAGCAAATGAGTGATTTATGCTGGATCAGCAGCAGTTAACCACAATCGTCAGATGATTTTTTAGTTATTTAAAAATTATTGGTCACCACAAATATTACGGGTGAGACGTGCAGGGCAACTGGGCAATTATATATATTACACGAATGTAATATAATATGCACTCTATTAATATACATCATAATAATCCGATCAAAAATAATAACAAATACTATCATTGAACGAACATTTATCGTACACCATAGCTGTTGCGAATAATTATGAATGTTGGCATAACTTGTGAGGAGGGGGAGGGGGTTGAAGCCTCTGTTGAATTGTTTTGAGAGAGATCTGTTTGAGCAAATGTGTATACATGATATTTTCAACTTAATTTTTGCTTAACAATTTTGAAAATGCGTATATTAATGAGTTATAGTATGTTAATAAATCAACACAAACCGTATTTGACATTGTTATATATAAAATAGCTATAGTTTGAGGGTGACTAATCTCAGTGGGGAAACCGTAATTTTTTTTGGGGATGGTCCAATCAGGAATTTAATTAAAATTACATTTTTGTTCCAACATGCATTTGAATAACATAGTTTAAATTTTGACAGAGCATATTAATTATTATTCATTAAGGAAGTAAAATAAAAAAATTGTTTATTAACAAAGTATACAGTTACATGGGAGAAGTGGAGAGCTTTCTAGGTGTCTATCTCTGTCGTGTGCTACTAGAGCCTGTCCACATAGGTTAGCCTAACCTAAACTTTATTTTAATATTAGTTGCGTCTATACCTAACCTTACATAAAGGGTCTATATAGTTACGCCCATGACAGCGCATATCGATTTCTATCGACAGCGCTGAAATTGTTAAGTTTAAACATATTATGTTTTACTGACCCTGAACAACGCCGGTCCTGCTATGTCATTGGGTCCGAAATACGTCCATGCCTTTTTTTCGAGCAGTTCGTCAATTTCGGCAGTCTCCGCAGTAGCCGAGGTTGTGCTGTTCTCCTGGACCAGCGGCTCTTGCACAGGCTGTGTCTCTGGGATCTTGAACCGGTACGCCTTTTTCAACATTTCCGGGGCGTTGTCGTTTACATCCTCGACCGCGATCACCACACTGGTCGTGGACGAGAGAACGGGCACTCCGTCGTCGATCACCGTTACCTGTCGTAATAAGAACATATGATATTAATATAATTCGATGAAACTGAATCACTCTCGCCGTCGGATTTGAAGAAACAACGTTATGTTATGTTCTGCACAAACATATAAGGCCGCAGACGTCACCCGGAAAAGGTTGGTAATTATAAAGTGATTATAAAGAAGTTTTTATATGAGTCTAAACGGAATTGTTAGTTAAGAGAATTTAAAATTGTTAAATAAAATATATATAATTTTTGTGAATTAAAAAAACTTTTCTTGAAAATAATTAAAACTGCGAACTAAAATATTTTTGGTAAAAAGTGTAAAATTCTGCACAGGCAAGACGATGACATCATAAACAGAATAATAACGCGATTTTGGATAGGGACCTGCTGCGAGTGTTGATGTTGAAATTCGTTGCATAAAACTGGCATAATTTTACGGGTATTTGGGGAGTAGAGAAAGACCTTGTTTGGTTGTTATAAGACTCGAAATGTTATTATCCAAAACAAATACGTCCATTAACGGCATTAACCCAGACATCATAATAATTACACTGCTGCAGAATTCGGCATTCTATGCAAACACTACCAACAAATCGTGTTTTCGTATGTCTTATGATTATTATACAGTATACATTATTATACAGCTGCTCGTACATTCGACATGATAATTATAAACGTATAATATTACCTCCAGTATGTGTTCGGATTCGGTCTCTCTGTCAAGTTTCCGTCCAGTAGTGGTTATGAGACCTGAAAAGAAAAAGTAGAAATTTCTTATCACCGGTTCATTTTTCAAAAACAATTGTATTTTAAAGCCTCCCCATAGCCCCATCCATTTCCCCGTCGTATCATCGTCAGAACTGTAATGGATGCGAATGACGGGTAAATATATAATATATATACACAAAGTATGTTCCCGTCGGTTCGAAACAATAGGCATCAGATCTTCTACCTAAACCTGCGTGATGTTACTATGTCCTTTTGTGCTTTTCTAAATCGCACACGCTATAATTATATCCTTTTCCTTCTTCGTGCGTGTCGTATCCCGTTTATTATTTTACCAGCGAGACACAAATTAGAATTAGTAGGTATATAGTAATTATTTACTGTCGTCCAATTATTATTTAAGTACTCGTCACGTTTAATATACAATACGTATTGTGTACGATACTGCGTGTTATGTGTTCTACGTCAGTACACTATTGTATATAGTTACATTAGGGCTTTTATTTTTAATAAGTTGTGTTTTTTTTTATAGAGTTTTTATAATCTGCGCACAGATGTTGTGCGTCATTTTAAGTTTAAAGAGTGATTACACAAAAAACAACGATAATTCACCATTTACTTTGCAGAATTCCTTTGTCTATATACTCAATATCCATCATAAAATAAGCCGGATTAGTGATAGAACTATAAAATTCATATCCGAATATTTCAATAATATACTTTATTATATATCTGCGAGTAATCGATTTTTTTCCTGTGTAATACGGGTATAACTGCGAAGTCATCGTTTTATGAATGAATAATAGATTAATTGTGGCGAAGCGGTTGTTTTCTGGATATTATGTAAGCTTTATTTTCACTAGAAACGCCAATAAATTATTAACACCGTTAATTAATGTGTATCGAGATCGCTGGAGCTAACTTATCGGCCGAACGGTCGTAAAATATATCAGTGTCTTCTCAAGTTAATATACAAGTATTAAAGCCCTACGATACCCTAAAGACTGTGTGCGTTTATATATATATACCTAATTGTACATACATAATCGATGGTGCGTTTGCATACCATTATTTTGCCAATGTCCAGAGGATAATTTGAATTATGGTAATTGCCGTAATGGTTGTGCTTAAGTTTAAAATAATCGAGTTTAGACGATCATGTTTTGGATTATGTGAAACAATGAATTCAAATTGTTTCAAAATCAATAAACAAACATATAATATATATATATATATATATATATAGGCATACATATATAGGGTAGTCTATCAAACTCTTGCAGCGGAGTTTAATTTAAGGAACTTCTGCAGGTTTCAAGGTGCCCAAATTTAAGCACAACTTTGGATGGAAAATGGTATTTTGTTTAATAATTAAAACTTGTTCAAAATAATCACCAAGGAATATTCATTTTAAACAAAGTGCTAAAAATAATTGGCATAACTTTAGAGAAAAGACACTAAATCGATATCTTTAAAACGTACAATATGTAGGTACATAACTTTATATAGGTTGGCAAAAAAAAAAAGACACACACCACTTTACCAAATGTTCAGGTATTTTTAAATAATGTTTTTTTTCGGGAAGTGTTACAGAAAACTGTATAAATCGAAAACGAACAAAAATAAAATGCGATCTTTTTATCCCCATGCAATAACGATAAATGGTTGGAAAAAAAGAATGAAATTTGACAGGTCATCATTAAAGGAGACTATCGTGTTTTTAAGTCAGGTTTTTAACTAGATTAACAAATGTATTATTAGAGTTTATGTTATTATGATGCATACAACCGACATACTAAAATATGAATGAAATTTATTATATTATATGTATATTTTTTTTTGTAGATATACGAACTAACCTAGATTATAACAGTAACAGCTGTAAAACAAAATATGACAGATAATCATAAAAAGGGACCGAATTGCGAATAACGATAATTTATTTTGTTCAGAACATAAAAAATTAAAAACAAATATACGTAAATACAATATTTTGAATTACAATACGCAAGAGATGCACCTATCCCAATATGCATAAAAAAAAAATAAATTAGTTTAAAAAAAAATACTACTATCGAATTCGAAACAGATAAAAAACACGTCCTAACACGTTACCTTTTATAGATAATACATCGGAGATCAAAAATTGTTCATTTTTTTTATGAACGCGGACCATATTATAATATGTGGACGAGATTTGAGAGGATAACCCTGTCAACGGTTTTCACGAATCAAGGGGTGAAAAATGTGTACAAACGTCGATGCATTGGTGCTTTTTCTGGCGCAGTTTAAATGTACTTGAAAATTATTGAATACACTCGTTTTAACGGTCACATGTTGAGGTATTTTTTTTCAATTTGAGATTGTTATAACTAAAATGTTATAAAACAATTTTTAAAGTTTATTTTTTATCCATAAATAACGATTTTAATTTTAATTGCATATGTGCTAAGGAGAATTTTGATATACCTACAAATATTAAAAACTGAACCGATAGTCTATATATTATTTATAAACATTTAAAATGTAGATAAAAAAAATCGTTTGCACTGAGAACATCGAAAATACCTACAGTACTATACTCGGCTCATTTAAATTTTAAATGCGTATAAATAATAAACTATTGATTGAATATTTTAAGCTTAAGAATCAACATTTCGGAATAATATTCTACTATAGAATATGAAATTGGAATTCATTTGCTAAAAAGTAGTGTTTCGAGTGCTCTTTAATAACTAGACGGGTACAACGTTGTTTTCAAAAACACGAGAATTTACCGATAAAACGAGTGTCCTACGTTTAAAAAAAAGTCGCCTTGTACATAATGTATTATATTAAAATATACCGTCTAGAAGTGACCGGTATACATAATAAATATAGCATAGAAAAAGAGGCGTGGGATGCGACCGCTTATAGTGACTTAGGCAGGAGGTGCGTGGAGGGAGTAAACGAACTTGTGCGGATAACTGTAGTATGCGTTTTACTCGCTGTAAAAGTCATACGTCTGCACCACCACTGGCACGTGTATATATTATTATTATACTCGCATATAGTTTAATTAAAAAGTTTTCTGGGAAAATACCACAACCGTAGGCGCGTAGTCCTTGGTGAATCGTATTAACGAATAAATAACGGACATAATATACGAATCGACGGCTGATATGTACGAGATGTAGGTAGTAGATACCTATATCGCATATAATATATAGGTAACGCTATATATATATATATATTATGGTAAATGTGCGAAGAAGCGTTTGACGTCCTACGATGACAATATTATACACTACGACGAGGGTTAATGTTAAAATTATATCAGCGATAATAATCAAAAAAATATGAGAAAATTGAATTCAATGGCATATATATATATATATATATATCATATACCCTAACCGCCCTTGGCGCATTCACGCTATATATAATAATATATAAGCCACGATGTAGCTGGTTATGGTGGACACCTGGACCATAGCACGGACCACATAAAGCGTGAAGTATACACATATCTCTCTTTTCGTCTATTTCTCTCTCTCTCTCTCTCTCTCTCTATATATATATATATATATATATATATAGACATTAGACATATAGTATACACAACGAATGCAAGGATGGATTTTCAATTGTGTCCGTTAAAGGCGCCTCCCGACATCATCGTCGGATGCCGTCGGGGTGAGTTTTGAATTATTTATATTTACCGACAGTTAACGGGAAACCTTATAGGAAACGTTATGTTTTAAATCAGAAAGCCGGATTGAAGAGAGGGAGAGTGAAAAAAATTATTAGGGGGAAAAAGCTTAGTGCACGTGTTGTGCCAAGTGTGTGCTAAAAACGAATGTACATTGACGCTTATTTCACAAACCGTTCGATCATTCGAGATGACCGAACAGATTATAGAGGCATACATTAAACTTATGCATATTGTAGGTTTGTATATGTACGAGAGTTACCCTCTCGTGTTTGAAATGTATTTTTCACTAGTATTGTACAGGCCCATTGATTTTAGTAGGTAAAATTATAATGTCGTTTCACCGTTTTATTAGCGCTACAAAATATATTGTTTATGAACATAAAACTACACTTCCTAGTTATTATGATATGATGTATAATAATACAATCATCTATTATGTATAAAACTCACCAGTATTTGCAGAAATCGCGAACAGTGACTGGGGATTCCCGGTGGTGATTTTGTACGTGATTCTTGTGTCGGACATATCAGCATCCTCAGCTTCCAACTGTATGATCGGAGTGTTTGGCGGAGCGTCTTCCTTCACTTGCGGATAGTATACCGGAGCTTTGGTCAAAGGCACGTTGTCGTTAATGTTCTTCACTTCCACATATACCTATGAATGATAAATAAACAGATTGTTTAATTACCATCTTTGTGTGTCACACGTGTAATTATCGAGAGCTAATAATAATACTAATATGCTATAACAGTGTTGTTACACTAGTCATTTAATTTCCGGCAACGACTGTACCATCTCAATTCACATTCAAAAGACTTTGGACGGATCGAAATATAATATGATGTGTTATATTTCCATGTAAATTTGCTCATAAATGACGCATGTATATATTATGGTGCACACGTAGACAGATTTTGTGTATCCAAACAATATTATTGCGTCTGTTCTTTCCACCCCGCTCATGTACAAGTCAATGGGGAATGTTGTTTATTAGACTTTTCATATTTCATAAACGTAGCGGTACATTTAACGACAACAAAGAAAAGGAATAAAATTATCGATTTTGATAACTATAAATACAAAATAAATTAAAAATTTAAGTTGTCAACAACAACAAGTTTTATACCTAGTCAAGATGAGATTTTTTTTTACTAATGAGAATTTTTACAAGATGTCATATGTAGAAATATAGCTCTGCATGACCACGTGAAAAAAAACAGTTTTAAAAATTAACGTTGAAATAAATAGGAATGGTTTTAATGACATACTTATTTTTTTACCCGAGTTTCTACTAAAAATAAGTTTGTTGATATTATTTATGAATTTAAAATTTGTTTTATTACTTAAGCTTGGTTACAATGTTTGTGTCTTTTATAATATGCAATGCACCCGATACACTGTAATGTATGTAATATAATAAACATAGACTATTAGTCACATTATACTAATATATACATATTTAATATATTGTGATAATCAACAGCACTAAACTAAGAATGAAGAACCTTATTATAAAGTATTCGTGCCTATAAGTAATCATATTGTACGTAATTACGAATATGTATACATTAAACTTAATGCGCACATCATTTCAAAAGTTTAGTAGTTTGTATGTATTTTCTTAAAATATTTGTTAGTGCTCATAAAGTCAACTTAGTTTTAAAACTTTTACCCCTTCTATTAATTTTAAATTGAGTACTTGTAATACTTTATAATTAAATAATAACAAAAATCTACAAAATATTTACTTTATTTAGCAAATAAATCATTTCGATGACTGCAATGTTGTCATCGTCAGTGCCCAACTACTCAGATCAAAACGTTTATGAGGGTACATTTTCTTTTTAGATTGAGAATACGATGCTACTCACTGATGATAGTCATTCTGGTTTATTGCTAACTGGTGAAATCATTTTTTGAAGTATCATACTGTTATACATAAATACAATATTTGAATATCCTATTAAATTAAAAGCAAATTTACCATTATTAATTCCTTTGATTAGTTTCTAAATATTAAAATACAAAAAGGTAAAACATAATTTGATAACTTTTGTTTCTTTTGTTGTTTTTTTTTTCTGAGCAATAAGGATATGGATGGTAATTTATTTGTGTAAGTAGTTGGAAATTACATACTTGAATGGGTCCACAAGATCCTTACTATAATTAATGTATTGCAACTGGGAAAAAAGTTACGATTACCCACATTTGGATTATCTGCACAGAAGGTAAAACCATTTTATACGATGAAAACTGTTATGATTTGAATTATGGACCGGTAAAGCTCAAAAGCAGGTAGTGTCAAAGATGAGAAGGAAATGAATAGTTTTAGAACTGGTGGCGGCCTGCTATATAGTGTAATATAAAACAACTAGGGATGTTCGAACAAATTGATTTTGATGGTGAAGGGCCTAAATGTGTTAAGTGAAGTGGAAAAACAAAAAAAAATAATTTCATGCATTTGCTTTGTACAATATATTTTGGTTTTCGAGATTCAAACGAGTATTGTAAAGATGTTCTAAATGACTAGATTTTCCAAGAGTCAAAGGAAATCAATTTATAAAAATATAATATTATATAGGTATATACATTTGAATTCCCCTTCATGCTGCACGAATTCTATTTTTAAATGACTAACTTGTACTTGAAAAAGAAATCTTTTTTACAAAAAATTAGAATAGATTAAAATCAATATTTTTTTTCTTTGTAAGTACCTTTAATTATATTCATAATTTATCATTCACGTCCGGTGATTTGTGAAATAATATAAAATAATTAAACTTTAAAGAACTTTTAATTTTCGAGTAGAGCAATATGACTGTATTGGTTTTAAGAATACTTGTATTTTTTTATTTGTCTGAGTTAAGAATCAGTCGTTTAGAATCAGTAAATAATAAACTTCAATATTCCACTCTGAGAGTGGTTTAAAAACCAGAAATTAGATAGATATTGCATACGTATAACTATTTTGAGCTGGAACGGTTCGTTAGACTTTATATTACTAGCTAAGTATATTTCATACTCATTAATATTAATATTTTATTAATTTTAACGACAGAAAAAAATCCTTTTATTTAAAAAAAAAAGATGTTTCTGGCAAACATAACTTTACTCTACTGAAAGACTGAAAAATCAATTACTGGCACAATAGTATAAATAAATTATACAAAATATTCTAAGATACACACACTATATCCGTCAGAATTGTGTTGTAGGAATGCAATAATTTATCACTGAATTCAAATTTAATACATCCATTGCACAGTGATCAACTCAATGACGAGATACACTCGAAACATACTATTTACTATGGGTACATCAAAGTTTTTGTAATTGTTATTTATTTGGTTATAATAATGATAACAGTAATAAATGTCATGTTCGAAAAAAACATAATAAAAAGTAAAAACCTATTACATGAAAGTATTGTACAGTCAATTCTGTCATTTCAGTAAACTCAAATGTGAGTGAATGCTTTTAGTGATTTTTATTGCTACTTAAATTGCCACAATATATTTAAAAACTTAAATACTTTTAAAACTATCATTTGCTTGAACTGCACCCTATATAAATAATGTAGTTAAACTTTTAGAATTATAATTTCTTCCAATATACACAATACACCGAGCTGGAGAATATTAATACTTTTTAAATATTTATTTCATAATCGAAGGAAGCTCCTTATAACTCCTTAGTCGTTACCTTAATTGATTTTCAATAAGTATTAAACTATTATGAATATAATTTAAGGTTAAGGCTATATTATACTTTAAGTATAAACTCTAGCAAAAGCTAGGTAAAAAATAAAAATATTTTTTTTAACGTATTACTAGAATCAATTTAACAATATCAATAGTACGATAAAATGTATTGATATATTGTCATATTGATTTTAAATAAGTTTGATAATAATATATGGGAGGCAATTCGAGTGAAAAAAAAGGTCACTTACTTAGATTTGGGAGGCAATTCGTGTGCACTGCGTTATTATACTCTGTTATATACCTTTTAATAATATTTCGTAAGGGTTTCGGATTTTCATTTACCAACACAACAATTTCTTTTTATATTTTGCTTTAACATTTTAATCAAAATATTTCATTCTTTCATTTATTTTAAAATGAATAAACGAACAAATCCAACGTTTTTTAAGCCTAAAATTAGTGATATTGATTTTGTACAATTAAAAAAAAAAAAAAATATATATAAAGTTCATGTATTTATTCTATATACCTATACATAATATATATAAGAATCGACTTTTTGTATTTCTTTACATTTCCGAGTTTATTATTTTAGTTTAGTACCCGTATTTGAGACTGTTTAAAAGAATTGAATCGAATCGAATCGATTGAACCAACATTAAAAAAATTAATGAAGAGAAATTCTGTGGGTACCTATACGATTTTTCCTCCGTCGACATTTTAATATCACACCAACTATGATTCTTCATTAACCGAAAATTTAGCGTTTACAAAGTCACTAAGAATTTGTAAGCGAGCACGGGACACACACGAATGCAGTGCGTAGGATAGTAACATAATATTTAGGCATGTTAAATATTAACGGCGGAGAGAAGAAAAACGCACTAAAAAAATGAACCACAATTATTTTGAACACCCTGTACACGTCATATGATTACGTGGTGCGATCGAATGGCTTACGGTCGAACAGCGTCAAGTATTGAATGAAATACGATTATAATATAATATAGAGAGACATAATATTGTAGGTACATCAAACACACAGCCATCAACGAAAAGCGGTAGCCATAGGTAAATATATGTATGTCATGTGCGCGTGAGCAAATAAGGCGACCGCGGTAAAAACTTAATGCGAGCACTATTATAGGAGTCGTCTTGTTCTTCGAAAATCGTACCTACTGTATAATAATATATACCTATATAAAGCGTCGTGTTTTCCGGTTGTCACGCAATATCGTAAAATTTTAATGTCAAAAGGCGCACGTTATCCGCGAAAGCTAGTCCATAAATGTTTCAAACGTTGACCACACATAATATACCTACGCGTATTATACACATATACAGCGGAATATAATATACATATATATACACATCAACATGGACCTCAACGTCCCCCTTTCGACACCAGTCGATTTACACGTGCGCCGTCAGCAGTCCGGAGCCACCAACGGTCGCGCGTACGCGCATAAATAATTGATGCAAATTAGTGTTATAATATCATCGTATAGGTACCTCGAGCCGAGAGTGCAGGGGAACGGTGGCGTGGTCAAAAGCCATCACGGTCAGCCAATACGACGATTTGGTCTCCACGTCCAGCACTACCATTGTCCTGATATTGCCTGTAAAAAAACGATAGTGCAATGTATTATTAAAATGTCAATAAATTAAATTAAATTAAATTAACTATATTATACTATTATTATACACAATATATACATTACGAGGAAAGCTAAACCTCTTTTTTTAAATTACGATCTAATGAGAACATATTTTTGCTGTAAGGAACGACTAATGTAAAAATATTATTTTTTTTTTTTATATATACTTGGTAAAATGCTTTAACCACATAGGGTTTTAAGCCTACATTAACTTTAATATTCCACACTTTGTATTTTTAACTTTTTAAGTCTTTATCGCTAATATTAATAACAAACATAACTATAGAAATAATACAATATAATATTGTAAATGTACGCTTGGTTTAAGTTATTCAAAAATTAGTGTTTCACGTTAAATGTCTAAATAATTTCAAAATAAATTGATATCACAGTTGATGCTGTTAGTCATTTGGCTTAGATGAGTGTAGTTGCATATCATTGGCCATTTAATCAACATCTGAAGAATAGTCTATTATAACTGCTAAACGAAAAAGCTGCTTTCAATGGTCATCAGAAATTGCAGCTCGGAATTGAACTTTCATAACTTTCATGTGAAATCAAATCATCTTATACAAACAGGAAATATGCATGTATCTACTAAATGTACAATAATAAAACTTCTAACAAAGTATGTGGATCGACTTTGAAATCTTCAGGGATCGGTTCGTCGATCGCGATCGACCGGTTTGGCCGCCGACCCTGTTACAGAGAATAAAATCGCATAGCGTATATTATGTGCCGCTGCAGTATATACATCAAAAATGAGATTATTATTAATGTTTGTTGGCCCGGGGGCAAAAAAGCGTACCTCGGGTAGTTAAAAACTTTACTTCGCCGTTTACGTATTCATATATATATATATTATATATATAGGTAACCAAATATCGCAGTATTGCGTACGATGACGACTTTGAATTGAATATTACATTTCCAAGTGTCAATATATATGCTGCGGCGTGTACCTTGTCGTTGACAACAATAGCTTTTGACACGAGTAAATATAAATATAAATATAATATACAAGCTTGTACTTTTTTTTTTTTGTTCTACGTATTTGGTGTTGTGTTATTGAATTACTATAATAAGGCTTTTATTTTGAAAAGTATAAAGGATACAATATTATTAGACAGCTTGTCCGGACGTAAGGGAAATATTTGTGTCTTAATGAACGCTGACAGAAAACCGGTATGCGGTTCGAAACTTGATCAAAAACACGACTATTTTGTTACCCGACTTAAAGTTGTCTCGTTACACGATATGATATATTTTTATGAAACGTTATTCCGGGAGATGATACCGATTACATTTATTTTGTCTTCTCTATACACCTACTATAATATACTAAATCGTGTTTAATGCATGATTTTGATTGATTAGCAAACGAATGAGCCTTAGTCCGTGTATATTTATGTACATTTTAGATTGAGTTATGATTGTGTTTATGATCGAGAAAATATATCAAATTAATCATATATTTGGTCGTACGGAAAGTATACATTGTACGTTATCGAATAATTTCGTCATGATGAATGACTAAGAAATTGACTTTAAGAACGGTGTCTCGAAAAAAGGACTACGCCGCATTATATATTATTTTATACAGTAGTAGACTTTGTGAAAATTCGCCCAGAAAATGCCCGAACACAATACATTTTGCTTTTCAGACGTATTATAATTTATTATAATTATTATTTCCAAATAAACGTGCAAACATCATCGGCTTTGAGTATATGTGTAACGTATAATATGACGCCGTTTTTGTCTACATTGACATTAATAAACGGACGAGACAGACGAGGGAATTTGAAATGACGTGCATATTTTTGTCTAGCTAAACCTAAATTTAACCTAGCGATTTTTTAAACATTGTAGTAACAGCTATAAGAGTTTGAATATTATTACAAACGATTTCGGTTTAGGATATTTATCTTTGGTACATTATTTGATTGAACAATTATCGTTTGCATGTTCTTCACTTACTATATTGGTTCTTAAACAATTATAATAATTATTCTGATATAGATAACGAAGTGGGTAAGAAATATGAATCTGGATGGAAATGATTTACACGAAATATTACAAACAATGCGGACTTTTTCCCAAAATTGTTATAGTGGATAGTATTGTTGTACTTTAAATTCATAGTAGTTGACGACATTTCAGCACGACTTGTGAAAGTCGATCGTCCTCTGGACCGTCGGAACGTGACACAACTACACGGACTTTCGAATTCAACTATATAGACAATTTGTCTTAACGCCTAAACGGTCCTCGCCGACTAGGAATTCAACTCGCGAACCAATTCGCACGTAAACTGACTCTAATAATACATATTAAAACGATTATTACGCAATCATCATTATTATATATTGTTATTTCTATACCTCAACGAGATCGGCGAATGAGTGCGGCGGCGGTAAGGTTTATGACGTTCAATCCCGGAGGTCGGTCGGACAGATTAATTCTCGTAATTGAAGAAACCCCTCGCACCCTAATGCTGGAGCGGAGGACCACAGATATACCATATACACGGTATCACATCCGTCTCAAGGCCACTATACGCATAATAATCGATTATTGAGAGCACTAAACGCGAACTGATTTACCGCCACGGCCACCGGACGTCGCTGTCGTTGTTCGTCGCTAATCAACATAATAACTTACGAACGACCAGCACACACTTGCAGGTGCGGAGGAGACTCATTTAGGTTTTTTTCGTTCGTCCCACAATTGGACAGATATTATTATAACATGATAAATTATAATTATTAATAATATAATATTCCACTTTTGCACCGCCCTTATACACGGATCTAACGAGATCACTGAACGAACAGAACTCTTGCGAACTATACATGTGAGAGTATGTAGAATTGTAGACTCTATTTATATCGCCATAAATGACGACTTTCCTGAGTCGATCAATCGACTATTGTTCGTTACACGTGGACCGAAAACCAAACGGCGTGTGGTTTGTTTAAGTTTGTTGGAAACCTGCCTATTTAAATATTAGACACCAGCAAATCGATGTTTACGTTACCAACTCAAGAGTTTAAGAGTTTGAAAAACGTTTACAGTCTTGAATACTAAATAATTAATATGCAGTTCAATATTTACACCTAGTGGTGTACATAATGACGATGTTTACTTAGTTCATATTGTATAATTTAGAATTTTAGTAAACATTTATGATTTTATTGACGAATTATTCAATCACACGCAATTGGTTGAATGTATATTTAAATATAATGAATATCAACGAAAATGTAATCAAACTTTTTAAATTTACACACTCCAGTTATTTTGTAACACGACCGTGCTTGAGACCATATTAAGTTGCATGTTATATATGATAATTTGTAAATTAACTTTAAAAGATTAATCGTATTATTCAGTTGTAATTTACAAAACGTAATATTTCAATGACTTGCCCACAGTACAATTTTCTCTTGAAATAGTTTACGAACATTTAAATTGGGGAATACTAGCTGTGAAGGGTTTCTCGGACTCTTTCAAAATTAACACGTATTGTTTGTTGTTTTAGAATTTGCATGGTACGGGTAAAATTTTTCAAGAACCATGACACACAATACACATTTCTGAATGAATATATTTAACCGAATATAGCTGGCAAAGAATACTCTGCTGATCTTGCTACACGTGGTAGAGTTTTTGAAAATAATTATTTATCTTATTTAAAAGCAGTCTTAGCCGCGATTTTATTGGTTGCACGCTGTAATTTATTTTAAGCACTTAGATCTTAAATCAATATTTGATTTATCACGAAACATGCAATAAAATCTAATATGACGGACAACTTTGAGAAATAATTTGATCGTTTTAATACTAGCGTGCGTGACTGGTGCGTTTTAGGTAGTATAAAAAAAAATGAACTCTGTATAAGTTTAATGTATTTCGTTGAGCTCTAGTAATCGAAACTTAAAACCAAAACCGGCGCAATTTTAAATAAATTGAGTGTTATATAATAAATATAAAAAGAAAAAAATCAACTTTTATAAAATATTATTGATCCAACAACTCCGGCGACGTACAAACGATTTTATAATTTTTGAGTTTAGAATTTGAAATATGCTTTTACTATCTAGGTATAGGTACGTAAAAAAAGATTATATATTATGTTATTACAATGCAGTTTCGACTGCAGTACCTATGTATATATATATATATATATATATATACACAAATAGAACAGTAATAGTTGTACATTAAAAAATGTATATGCATAGTTATATAGTTAATGGCTGAATCGCACGAAGTGTTTCAGACGGAAACGACTGCGTTGTTGTTACATTATTAGTAATTTCGACAGAGTGCAACACTCAAAGTAGACCGTCAGATCTGGTAATGGCAAGAAAATCACGAATATGTATAGAATTAACAACGATACCGAGAAGAAGAACGCACCCGAAATGAAATCTAAGATCATGTTGATACGTACACCATACCTTCAGTAGTGGTTGAATGGCCTGCGGTTTACATTGCAGTATCCATATACCAGCAAAAAGGAATTTTATACACATATATTGTAAGGCCACCGTTTTTAATTCGATTTTACTCTGTCAACTTTTATTTATCTGCCCGATTCGAAATGGAAGCACTCATTTCCCCCATACCTTTAAAAATAGACTTTTTTTTTCAAATACCTTTATGCACAGGTACGATAAAAAAACGAACAGCTGTACGAGCGGGCGGGGGAGGGGGGATCGTAGAAACATATTTCATTAGTCTTTATTTCCTATTAAATCGTTTGTATCTATACGTTTTCTCCCAATAAATTTGTATTTGTCTAAACATTGATTCTTAAACCATAAAATAGTTTTGCTCCCATGTGTTTTGAGTAGAAGTTTATTTCAAATATATATGTATACATTTATTTTGTTTCGATTCATTGAAACTGTTTCTAAAAGTTTGTAAGACTCAAATAAGTGTTCCGTGAAAAT